TATGGAGTTTTTATTTTGATTACGACCCTGCACGTTTTGTCACATGATTCGGATTGAAATATCTTTTAAAAAGTTGAGGAATCGGTAACGCGATTTTGAATAAGAAGCACCGACGAGTACGCTATTGGCGTATCGGCTTTAAGCGAGTCAATGACGATATCTTTGTGGCAAGGCGTGCACGGGGTTTGCTTGTTTGTCTCTGACTTAATTTCGCAGTTGTTCACGCGCATCACTGAACGATCTTTCATTTCCGTTAACGTGTGGGCCCTTCGACCCTGTCGTAGAGCGAGGAGGTCGCAGCGAACACTCTGACGATGTTAGACCATCAAGGCGGTAAGCAGTTCCCTCAGCAATAAGCAAAACAACAATCAACAAATCAAAGAAACGAATTTCGAAGATCCTCTTCTAGGGAAATAAATAAATAAAAAGAAAGGCGAGAGCAAAGTGATAAGAAATAAGATGCAAACAGACATGTTAGGCTATGGGTAAACCTCATCACGTTCAACGTGCTAGTTTTTCGGAGAAACGCGCGACATTTTTAACTCACAAATAACGGACTCCAGGTCCATTTGGGCTTATAGATATTTTCATTTTTCTGTCTTACTCAAAATTCTTAGTTTCTTTTATCTTTTTGATACTCTTTGTTCTATTTTAAAAGCCTCGTCAAGACTTCGCGAGTCTCCGTAAAAGTACGAAGGTTGACTGCGTTAAACTTTTAATTATTTATATGTACTATAAAGTAGTGTTTAGCATCGATTGTTATTATACCGATAAATGTCGACGCAAGTTTACAACTTTTTAGGTCAGGTTCAAATGAATCCGGGAGTCCGTTCAGGGGTTAATGTGGGAGCACGTTCCGTGTCGAATGGTGTTATTAGAGTTCGATTTAACTTCGAAGCAGAATGGATAAAAATATAAAGTAAAAAATAAAATAGAACTGTATGAAGAGGCTTAAAATCCTTGTCAACTGTTTGTATCGCACGAAACGTGTTCGAAATGATGACGAATAATCTTTATTAAATAAAAGTGAACAAACGAAGTAACATACCATCGATTTTTGTTCCATCTCGCGTTCTATTTGCTTCGTTTCGCTTCGCGAGATCGGCCAATCGACGACAACTTCGCTAATTAACACCACGTTTACATATACGATTATATATATATATGTGTATATATTTCTATCAACGATAAAAAATGAACGCGCGTAACTCTGGTTCTGATCTCTTTTTTCTGTCCTTTAGCTAAAAACAACCTTCTAATTCTGTAATCTTACAGCGCCACGGTACTCTGAGTGCCTACACTGGAAACGAAGCGTGTCTTTTTTTCTTCCTTTAATCTGCTTCTGCCTTTTGTCTTTTCCTATTTAACCATTCGACTTTTCGCATATATTTATCATCTGACTCGACTCGATTCGATTCATCGATTTGTCCATCGTTCTCCCATCATCCGTTCATCCTCCTCATTCTTCGTTCAGTAGACTCTGTTATCAAGCCTCGACGAAACTCTTCGACCCTCAAATATCCCATGATGTGTAATGATATTGTAGAACGAGTTAATCACATATTACCACTAGTAATGCTGTATTTTTAACTGCCTAATCTTTTGCTTATGGAAATTTCACAGATCGACGTGCTAATTACTATAATTATTTCCCGTATCCTCATGCGTTCTTCGATCCGACAAGCGTTGGATTTACCAACCTTCTGATCAGCGACCAGGCTAAGTTCTTACTCTCCTCTCTAACTGTTTTTATCGCTTTTTCCGTTCTTAACAGAGTATAGGATAAAATAGGGGAGCCATGTATAATCTCTTCAAATTGTAGCGAATTTTGGAACGAAACAAATGAAAAGAACCTTCATTTCGTAGTTCCTTACGGTACTTTTCCTTTGACGTTAGTCGTAAAACAACCCCCACAGGGATGACAAATCTTACTGTATTTTCGAACTTAGTCTTTGATCTTTATTATTTCCATAAATCGGTTCGCGCTGTCGTCGCCTCGCAGTTGGTAAATCCAACTCTTCTCTTCTTTATCGTTCACGTCAACAAAGATTATCCTGGACCTCCAGCAGAGCCTGACCCGCAGTAGAATTAAAAACTAATCAGGATAACGATATCGTGGTACGCGCCCTCTCGCTCCCTCCGTAATCTTTGGAGAATGCTATTCGAGTGGAATCAGACTTGTTCCTTCGAGAAGAAATCGTAGATGATCGGGCAGGCACCGAAACAGGCGGAGAACTCTGTATTCGTTAACCCGTAGCGTGTTCATCCTTCTTCGTAGTTTGCTCATCCTAGATCCGGAAAGTCTGATTCTTCGGTGGTTAGCTTATATCCAAAATAAAAATACGAAAGAGGTTTCTTGACCCGTCGTTCCTAGACGGGAAGAGACGCGCCTAGAGAAAAAATAGAGGAAGAAAATGTTTGCGGAGCGAAGCGAGGGAGCGTATCGACGGTGCTTCCTGTTCCTTCACGTTTAACACGCCGCTGATTGGTCGGTTGCCTGTTTAGAGCCACGAGGTCGGGATGAAAACCCTCGTAATGCTGGACGAGCAAGGCGGTAAGCCATTTCAAAATCTAGACATACAAACATTAAACTTTACGTAAAACGTCTCTTACAAGAATTATTATTATTATATATATATCTGGTCTTGACCGACACAAAAGCAACGACCGACGATTATTATGTATTTTTATATTATATTCTCCATATATTCTTCACCCTGATCTATACAGGATGTGACCGACATGTTGGTACGTTTAGACGCGCAAGTAATTCGTTGTACAAAATGAACTGAAAATACGGAATCGAGTTTTTCTTTATGTCGTCGCCAAACGGTTGGTACAATAGACTCTGGTCACATTGCTGTTGCAAATGGACTTTCTTACTTTTCTTATCGACGATCGCTGGTTCTCCGTCGAACACGTATTATGTTCTATCGATACGTGTCTACACGTTGTATTACCACGCGGTCTGAAGAAAACTTTCCGATCAATTCGATATAGTACCAACTATTTGACGTTGGAAAACGAGATAGCTTTGTTCGAAAAGAGTCGCTTGAAAAATCTGTGCCAGTTGTAACTGGAAAGTTAAAACTATATTTTAATTAATATCTCGAATTATATTTCGTATCGGAGAGACTGTTAAAAGTTTCGATAACGAAACACGATGATTTTCCGAGAAGAAAGAAAACGTTGCTTTACACGTCTCGTTCATTTTTCCACGAGGAATTACTTTCATGTTCGATTGAGCCACCATGGTAGCCACACCCCGTATAATATTTGTACGTTCTACATAGATATATACGACCGCACACGACACTAATTGCGTGTAATATCGTCCAGACACTGTTTGCAATACCTTGTGTACATCGTTATTTAATTTCGAGTCAGACGGTTGCTATCTACTAACCCAAGCACCGAGAAGGACTTCGTTCTACCGACATATTTTCACTCCTCCCCTTCAGCATTCGGATCGTTTACGTTCGATGATCATCTTACTTTACTTTCTTTCACCTTTGTTCTTGCGTTTCTGTTCCCTTCGATCTTCTTTGTTTCCTCGATCTGTGTCACTTTGACCATTTTCTTCCCGTTGCATTCGAACTTGGAGTTTTCTTCGCTCTTCTGTTTGATCATCGATTTTTCGCTCTGCACTCTTCTTCCTCTTCCCTTCGCTTCTCTTCTCCTCTGCTTCTCTTTCTTTTTCTCTCGACTGCTCCCTTTAAGCCTCTATTTTTCTACTTCTTCTCTGTGCGTCCTGTCGTTCTCCGTCAGCTTCTTCCTCCGATTCTTACTCCGCTTCCTACCGTGAACGTAAATCTCACGAAGGCGAACGAACAAACAAAATAAAAAGAAATAAAAGAAACTTAAAAACAAAGAGTGAAATACAAGAACAGATAAAACGATACAAAACAAGTATACAAAACAGAGAGAACAATAAATATATATATATACAGAGAATACAGATGTATCGGGTCGCACGACACGCGCGCACCACGTTTAAACGCCTCCCTTCGTTACTTCCGGCACACGGTGTAAGTCAATACCAATCTACTGTGTATTATGTTGACCGGCACATTTTTGCATCAGCGCGATACTCTACGTAAATATAATATATACTTGATTCAATTCGTACCCAGTACCCTTAGACTCTCCACCGTACACCCCAGTACATACAGAGTTACTCACCCGATCTTAGGAACCCTTAGTAGGGAGACTTTTTTGCTTAGCTGTTGCACTTTCGTTGCACTCGTTCCTTTTTTTACACCTTTGAGGATGCATCGTCGAGAGAAAACGATCCAATTCGTTCTTTAACCTTTTCGCTACCTGGCTTAAGATTTCCTTGGCCAACGAAAAGATCCGTTACGCCTCCCACATTCGGGGAGCTACCGAATTGTTTCATAATACTCTTTTTCGAATATGTCGAATTGGGACCGAGACACTTTAATTGTTTGTACTTGGGGACCATGCAGTTGCAAGAGATTGTACCAAGGGTGACTAACTGTTCTTAGTAAGGAGAATATATTTTTAACCGAACCGAAAGGATTAGACTAACATCCTGCATGCAAATTATGAATTAAAGATGGGGATCAATCGGAACGAAATGGTGTTTCTCTCGACAAATCCTCGTAGAATATAAACCCCGTTGTTCGTCGTTTAGGATCGCGGAACAGAGTTAATTTGTCGCGTTGCAACTTCGAGAAAGAAAATGTGATACTTGAATCGGAGAATGAATCTCTGTTCCTCGACGACCCAAAAACGGCGAACCTATCAAGTGTTAAAAAGAACGTATAAGTTGTCTCGAAAGAGAATGGGACAGTGTTTCTTTTCGTTTTCCCTCCTTCGATAAAGGTAAAGTTCTTTTATGTTGAGTACACCGAGCAACGTAGAAAGTACAGTAATTCGTGGATTTTATTTTCGACCCGGCTGTCTGTTCCCTTTCGAGACGTTGCAGCGGGAAATTAAGCGGAAGGATATTAACGTTATCTTCTCGTACGATGAAACAGAACAACTGGACAGAATCGAGGAGGGTATGGACCAGATCAACGCCGACATGCGCGAGGCCGAGAAAAATCTCACTGGAATGGAAAAATGCTGCGGTCTCTGCGTTCTTCCATGCAACAAGTAGGACTGTCCCCGATCACGTTTACCCTTTCCATTGTCTCGAACCAAAGCTTTTGTTTTACAGAGCACTCTTTAACCCAACAATTCTATCGGCGACTTTAACGTTTCTCTTTAAATCTCCGCGCCGTACGCGGTAGACTCTCGGTAGGTTGCCACGAACGGACCTTCGAAAAATTCTCCAAGAGATTATCGCGGTGGTTGTATGTAAAATTATCGGTACGACGAGAGTCTATCGCGTTCGATTAATTAACCGTTCGCGGATTAAATCTCTGCTCGTGTTAACCCGGTTGGTGTTCCCTCGAAGTGTGCATACGCGGTGTAGCCTCGCTGATGAAACGTTGCTTTTCGCAGGAGCGCAAGCTTCAAGGAAGACGAAGGGACCTGGAAGGGCAACGATGACGGTAAGGTGGTTAACAACCAGCCTCAACGGGTGATGGACGATCGCAACGGACTCGGCCCTCAGGGCGGCTATATCGCCAAGATCACGAACGACGCTCGTGAAACGGAGATGGAGGAGAACATGGGACAGGTGAACACGATGATCGGTAATCTGAGAAACATGGCGATTGACATGGGCAGCGAATTGGAAAATCAAAACCGGCAGATTGACAGGATCAATCGCAAGGTGAGGAAACGTATTCCAACCCGACGAGTCGGAAACAAGCTCGGAGATGTCGTCGAGTTGCGGATATATTCGGGGCTTGCTCTATCCGTTTTTATGTTTATCGAACATAAAGTTCAGTTTGAAACGGTTGTACTGTAACCCTCGAGGATGTAGTTGTGGAAAGAGCAAGCTTCGAGTCTCTCGAGAGCCGTTGAAAACGATGATTACGATACGTACGATTAGCTCCGCTATATTTTTTCTCTCCACGGAGCATGCGTGGATTTTTTGACTCACGATGCACGCGCTCAGAGCGATGCACAACACGTTCGTCGTCGCTTTCGCTTTCTTACATGCCTCTCTTACATTCCGTCGTTCCCTCGGGTCACTCCCGCCTCAAATCCCCTTTCGTTCCCCAACTCTTCGAACGAGTCACAAACGCGAATCTATCGCACGGTGGATCTCGATCCAAAGAGACTTCCAAGATAAGAAACCAAGCGTTTCCATCAAATTATCCTAGAAACGAAGAGCTGGCCGTCGACGATGGGCAACGTGTCGTACGAGTACCGTTCCTTCTTCACCCCTTGTCTCTCCTTGTCTTTGTCCCACGAACTTGGAAGATTTCGGGATTGTCTCTCCTCCGAGAGGAGCATATTCGTACCTTCTCTGTACTTCTCTATATATACACACGTTATTTTTGTATTGGCACGGAAATTCTATTTGCGAGGACGAAACGATTGTCGGACATCTCTCGCGCGATGCTGTCAATCAGAAACGATGGATTTCTGTTCGGATAAAGGTGGACGATTGTTTCGTTTTCGCTTTGGCATGCGTACGCACGTGCACCGCACGACTAGCCACCCCTATGTACGGTAAGACCTGTCTAAATCGAGCATTGCGTATGTCACGGAACCTGCGTCTTGTCGCGTGGTTTCTTTTTTAGTTTTCGTAACAGGACAACCAAATACGTGTTCAATTTCTACTCGTGGACTCGTGCAGTGTGCACGCGATAAAAAGCGGTCCTATTCGAGAGAATAGTAGGTACTTAGAAGACAAAGTTTCAACTCGGCTTACTCGTAGTTGTTCGCGGTAATACGTGATCAGAGGTTGAACGTGTATCGGCTTGTCCTGTATCGATACGCTATATCAGAGTTGGATCCTTGCCGGGTTATCGAGAGATCGTGTCGAAAATTTCAGGCGACAAAGTTTAAAGGGATCTCGAAGAAACGTATGGACAGATTTTACTGTACTCCTTTCTTTCTCGCACACCCGCGTCGTTCCTCTGTTCGTCACTTTCCCGTTCCTCGATCACTAACGAACGAGAAAAAAGGAGAAAAAGATCCTTCCACACCCGACACGCTTTGTTAGCCCTCCCTGTTTTTCTGTCTTTTACACTCTTTGTTGTATTTTCTTTCTCTGTTTCTTCTCTTGCCTTTCGTTTGATCGAAGATATTCACTTTCTATGCCACCTGTGACCAAAATCCAAACTATGATAAATCCGCAGGGCGAGTCGAACGAAACGAGGATAGCCGTGGCGAATCAGCGTGCGCACGCCCTGCTCAAGTAAAATGCGTCTCTCTGCCCACGTACCCGTCTCCTCCGAGCCCCAAATAGTCAAACAAAACTAAACAAGTATATATATATGTACACGTATATATATATCAACTCCAAATATTGTACGCTCACACGCCCACGACCCCTTCTTCTGCCTTCTCGTCGTCGGTCGGACACCGTCAACCCGTCAACCCAACTCTTGTGTCTCCAACTCGATCCACCTGTTTGCGCTACAACGATTATCGCCGAACCTTCCGGTTAATTACGTCGACTCGCGTTACGTTCTTAGCTCGTTACGGTCTTTCTTAGCGTCTCCTTACTTATACGCCGTTTAATTAGTCTGTGCTATGTTACGTCCCCCTCAGTGTAACCGCGTCGTCTTTGTTTTTCGTCGGTTCAGTTCGATAATTTCTACGATATGTTTCGCGACGATTATATATCGCCAGTAGTACATTTGGAATCGAGAAACGAGTAATCTCCGTTTCAACTATAATTTACTGAGCGACGATAGAATGCTGTCTTCTTGCTTCCGAGGGTACGCTCGCTTCCGATTCTAATTGTACATATCTATACGCACACGCGCGACAGTGATACATCCCGGAATCTTATTTGTCGGACGGAACCCCGTAGGGACGTCATTCTCGTCGTCGTCTTCGTTGTTGCTACCATTCTCCAAGATTAGAGTTTTCAATTTTGGTCGAAGATTACGGACAGTAGCAAGCTTAGATTCGAGAAACAAGGGTGGACCAAGCGAGTGGCGGGAGTTCCCCTACATTTTCCTTTCGCCTTTTCCCGATATCGCATTTCAGAAACGAGTCCACATTTTCCTTTAACCGAGCAGTATCACCTCGAGACTTTGCATTCGAAAAAGAAGATCATATCCTTCTAACCGAGAAAAATCATCTCTTCCTTCCACGGTGAAAGATCGCTCGGTAGATAGGCGAATGACAACGAGGACGAACGACGAGGTGATAAAAGAGCGCGGAATAATGAAAGTTAACGCGACAGGTCTACGATAACATGATCTTTGATTACACACGCCTGAGTTTGGGTTACGATCTTTCGTTTGTTTGTTTTTTTGGCACGCAGGGCGAATCGAACGAGACGAGGATAAAGGTGGCCAACGAGCGAGCCCATCAGCTACTCAAGTAAGGCCACTCTCGACCACCTGCACCCCGTCGGCCACCAACAGCACCAATACAACCATCACTACTATTCACCATCACTATCACTACCTACAGTTACAACAACAACTACTACTACAACTACAATAGCAACAACAGCCAAGCGTCTACAATAAAACCAGAACCAACACTTACAGACACACTCTCAATTTACTTACTCGTGCTCATTGTACTTTACGTGATTTTTTCCGATTCTTTTAATTTTCAAGTAAGACTTAATTTATACATCGAATCACACGGTAGAATTCATAGCAGAGACGAGTTTATAAAATTAGACGATTCGTTGAGACGGCTAGAGAAAGATTCTTAGCGTACGTTCAGTTCCGTCCCTGTTTCGATCTTTGGTTTATCCTTTTAATTAGTTGCTTTTCTTCTAGCGAATGTTAGCGAGATCGGCAATTTTTGTCCGATAGAATTGTACGTTGAGATCTCGATGATCACATTGTTGAATAGTTTATTCGCGGTTAGTCGTATTAGATTGTTGCTCGAAAGAGAAAGCACGTTAGATTCTAAGAGATCGATCAAATGTACCACTTTGTGCTTGTGCCTTTTGTTTTCGAGGAACGTCAGAAGTAAATTCTATTTGAATACATACTGTTCGTGCGTTCTTCCGTTTAACACCATCCAAATAAGATAACGAGTTTTAGATTCTCGACACACCACGATACACGGCTTCTTTCGTTTACGTTCGTTTCACGATTTTACATCCATTTCCCTGGGCGGTTCTTCGACGAGTTCCCACGAACGTATATATACGAAAATACCGTCTTTAATCCTTAAAGGGGCAAATTCTCTCCGTAGACGTAGAAGTTTTAAACATAAAACAGGAGTGACAAAAATGCACCCGATATCGGCTCGTTGTTAACACGTTCTGTGCCGTATAAATAGATATATGGGTTCAATAGAATGTTACATTTTCATCGGCTGGGATACCAAGGGTGGAAAATGCTTTGGGTCGGGGAGTGTCACCGGTGTGCGTCACAATCATGGGAAAATATCGACGGTATGAAATCGTGAACAACATCGGATTCAGAAAATTGTAATTATCCTTTCATTTTGTTTCCCCTTTCGATTTAATATTTAGTTACATTTTAAGAATTTTCTGTGACTATCGGTCACCTATATAGCACAGAACGTAACAGAAAAAGGAAAGATAAATAAAATACGAGTAAAAAAGTACAGAATTTCTCGTTTCGATTGCACGTTTATCCAAATTCTTCCACTATCGTGATAGCGTTCACGCTTTTAACCCTTTTGAAAATGCTAATTGTCTTTACGAAGTCATTGAGAGTTCCAACAATTTCATTATAGCGTATTACTTTAGTTCTAACTCGCAGCAAAGGGTTAAAAGTGTGCGCCTGTTTAAGGGTTAAAGATTAGCCGCAGATTATCGATGAAAGAAGCATATTACGAAGAAGGAAGGAGACAACGTCAGTTGTCGACGGGTAGCACACACACACGCTGTAATTCTTTGGATCGTTACATCTATACACTCGTTCACATACGACGTACAGTGGTTGGATAAGATAATGGAGCGTTGAATGTTAATAAAAACCACCGTATCTACTAAAGCATATTCTTGGAACGAATTCGATCAAACTTTGCCAAGTATCCACCAGAATTGTACATCATACTTGTTGACGAGCATTTATAACTTATCTGTTATCGACAAGTGGATTATTGTAAATTAAAGAGATAGTTTTGAATAGTTAAATTCTCGATCGTCTAGAACAGAAGTGAACGCAAACTTGCCCGTATGCGTAGCTCGTGTGACAACCTTGTTTTCGGGCTCGCGTTCGATCCGCTACGAGTATTGAGAAACAACGTAAACGGTTCGATGCGAGTGATACGGTGTAGATGAAACATTGCAGAACAGTGTAGACGCGATTGTGTAATTGGAATAGCGTAGAATGGGACGATGGTATTTGAATACAGGTGGGACGGTATGAACGGAATGATGGGGATCAGGTGTATTCGGATTGTACAGTCTCCAGAAATCGAAGACTGGGAAGTGCCTACTACCAATGTAGTCCATCGTTGTGATCACGGGCTGACGCATACGCTTGTGCCCGCCTTACTATTTGCTGTTCGCGTCTGGTGTAGAGTCGAGAAATTAACTCTGTATGTTCAAGACAACTCGATATCGGGGATGACGACTATGAACAGTCGTCGGACACGAGAATTACACATACTTCTTTGTCCAGTTTTCAAAAATAATCAGAAATTGACATTCGAGTGTTGTATCGTTTCCATTATCTGCTCCATTCCCTGTCTGTACACACCATACTACTTGGACACAAGGAACACACGGAATGGGTAACGTTGATCGCACAGCGTGTGGGAGTGCACGCGCGAACGATACATACGCACAGCGAGTCCCCAGTAGGTAAACTACGTATTCACGTAATTTGTTATCACGATTAGCGTTACGACCAAGATATATCAATGTACAGTAGTAGATTACAAGTATAGGTAGGATAGAGACAAACCTCGTGCGTGAATTTCGTAAGCTGGATAGTAGGTCGTAAGAGGAGGGAGAGTCTTGAGATTATTAAAAGGATACGCGTGTATTAAAATCGGATCGAGGGCTGTGCAGTTGAAGATCTGCTCGAATAAAAACGAGTTACCGTTCAAATCCAAGATCTGTTCGAATATAAAATCCGTGTTACCGCTTATTTTGACGCGTACCACGTTCTACACGTCGAAGAAAACCGGAAGGGATCGTAGAATGTACGGAAGAGAGTAAGAATAGGGTTGTAGAATGCGTCGGGACGAACGAGAGAGTAGAAAGAGGCAGAGCAATGAAGGAAAAGGTGGAAGAGGGACGGAGACGGAGACGAGAAAAAATCGAAGCAACGAAGAAGACGTCGTCGCGAGATACTTATAAGAGATAGAGAGAGAAACGAAGAGAATGAGGGTGTTTAATGTGTAGATAGAATTTTGTTCATCGTTTTGTCTCTCGACTCACCGTAGAACGTAGATCGATTCCGTTTTTCGCACCCCCGCGCTCTTGTGATGGGGGTCACAGTAAGGTTTAACTCCAAATAAAACGAAAAACGAGTGAAAGATAGAGAGAGAAAGAGAGAGAGAGAGAATAAACGAAGATTGTACATTATATTGTATTTACACGAAGCGAAGTACCTCTACTTTGTATTGTACGAACGAATAATCCGTTTGAGGAATTCCCATTTCGGTTTCCTGTTTCGCTATCTACTAGTATCCACGTTGTATACTTTCTTTAGTTTTTCTTCTTTCTTTTTCAACCGCGACTCGCGAATACAAGTACGAGTAGAAGTTTTTAATCAAGCTTTTCAAGTTCGAACAAGAGCAACCAATTTTTTGGTGGTCGGTATATTGATTTATAAGCTCGTATACGATGTGGTTACGGTAGATTGGACTCAACGCCGCAGACAAAAGGGATGTTTCTCGAAGCAGCTGTCAGCCTTAACAGTATTCGCGTCTTTACACTTACCTCTTTAGCCTTAAGAGAACGCTTAGAGAGATTGCGAGAGAGAAAGAGCGCTGACGTTGACTCCCCGTTAGCATCGAAATTAACCCCCGAACAGATCGACAGAGGGGTGGGAGCGAGCGAATGAGAAAGAAGATTATAAACGGATCTTAAAGCGCAGAGTTTTTTATGTAGGTCACATAGAAAAGCAGACACGTGTGTATTTAATATCTATTATAAATAAGCATGATTCCGATACACAAGTTTTTCTGAATTTTAACGGGTTAATCGTATTAACTTGGCCAAGCGACAGTGTATCGAGTCGTTGCGGTCCATTTCGTACTAAACCGAACAGCGTGTCCGTGATTCGACGAAGCACCGTCTAAGATGTTCGTCGCGCCACGGTCGCGACTAGTCCGCAACGGGCCCAGCGCTGCACTCTTATATATACCCGTAGAAGGAGAAGGACCCGCCTTTGCGCTATCTGCGCATGCGTCGGGAACCCCCCACTCTCGCTTGGCGCGGATATAAAAGCTCTCGAGTTGCGCGTCAGACGCGCATTACCTGACTTTCCGTTCACGCCAAGCGCTTCGTCGCTCGTACGTCGAATGATAATTCTTCTTGATCCTTCAGCTACGACGCGATCGTTCAATTTGATCGATTATACATGTATTATCCTAGAAACTAGCAATACTTTTATATTCGATTTTCGCTTACTTGGATAGAGAAAGATTTAGTATACAATATCTAGTGGAAAAAAAACATCAGGGGTTTTTATCGCGTACGAACACCTTGTTCGGTATGCCTTTTTAAGCAGTCATAGTTGTTACGAATGTAAGTGATCGTAGTTAAAAAGTCCATTTTCCTTCTGTACGTGTAATAAAATACGATATAGTTTTTTCCTAATGTAAGTATAATAGGAGATCTGTTGGAAAATATGTTATCGCGTATCGAGAGTTGATCGAACGACGGGTTAGCTTGTCTTCTTCGGGTTAATTATGATCGAGGCGTAAACGGAAAGCTCAGCATCGACAGTGAGTGTATTGGCGGAGCGCAAAAGACGATAGTATTATTTCTCTAACTTTGTTGTAAACGAATTTGCCACTTAGGGAGGCAATACCGTACATTCGATTCTGTTTTCGCAGGATATATCAATTGAAAAATGTACCTTATACATTGAAAAATGTAAGAGTAGCTGTAGAAGCCAAAAACCAGTAAAAATGCTACGATCGATCGATTAAAATAATAGTATTATTAAACGTGCAATATTAAAGGTAACAGTATTTAACTCCGAACTTAGTTTTCAAGCGCTCAATCTCTCTTTTTATTATCAAAATTTCGATTGATTTCCTTTCAAGTCGGTAGAAATATTAAGAACGATATATCGTAAAAAGAGGAATTAAATTCTACGTTAGAGCCCATATTAACACGTTGCCGAGTGGTCGAGATATCTGTATCGTTTAGAGATATATTGCGCTCTTTTTTTATATTTTTACTTCTATGCGCAGTATCGATGATGTTAGGATTCCCTTCAAGGAGGACTAACATGCTCGGTACTCTCCTTCGTGTAAGTTAATCAATATTCCGGTGTTTCTCGCTCGACTTTAAGGGTGTTATTTTACTCGCTAGTAAATTCGGCAGTGTGTTGAACAGAAATTGTGTAAGAAAAACAGAATCGATTGCATCACGCGTGGCTCGCTTTCGATTTCGCTTGTTCATTTAGCTTTATCCTACGCGAGAAGAGGGATCGTGGCTTGCAAAACCCTTGGATGCTTCGCCGGTCGAACCTACTAAGCGGATCTTACAGAGAGAATGAGCGAATGTTTCGAAAAAAACGAATGAATGAGAGAGAAAAATATAGCAACGGGAGGGAAGAGACATGTTACACTGACATGGTGATCGTTACCCAAAATAACTCGTGTTAGGCCTATCGTAATTGTTTACTTTGAGAGGGAAGAGATATACAGACAATTATAAATAAATATAAATATAAAATAGACATGTACATGCATATATATTATGTACGAATCGAGCGCGGTGAGCCTTTTTCTTAATAAAATAAATAGATCTTTAGATAACCGATGAAAGAAAGAGAGAAAGAGAGAGAGAGAGTCGGGTGCGAGAAAAAAAGGCTACTTTATATTCGCAGAGCGAATACAACGTTATAATTATATTATTATTATGATTATTATTATTATTATTATATTATATGTATAAATATTAATACACGACACGGGATCGAGCAATATCGTATTGTTACTATTCGTCGTTTACTATTAATCACCAGCCTATATCGAAGATTCTATATCGTGTACTTATTTTACAAGATCAAGTACCTCGTGTCTGAAACGAGTTATACAATATATAACTCATATCGAAAAATCTATTTGATCCGTGTTGTACTGCGTACTTTTAAATACCTATTCGCAAAAACGAACAAGACAGAAGAATTGTATAGAAACACAAGCCAGATATATTGTAGATAGACATGCGTAGATAGATCGATTAGAAGAAACTAGCGGCGCGGAGAAGGTGTTAAAGGTGTCCACGGTGTGAATGAGAGAGTGCGCGTGTAAAACAGATGAAATTAGGCCGAGTGGATGATTAACGGTTTTTTGACGGGAATCGAAGAAAGAACAGCTCGAGATAAATCATACCGGATAACCGATTCTTAATCGAAATTCACCGTTTAATCCCTTGCGTTCGCTGTTATATTTTCCTACGCGTTTTTCATGCAAGAAATGCACAAGTGTCGCGCTTAAAGAGGTACGGGCGGTTAAAATTTCGTTAATTACCAGTGCTATATTACGCTCATACGTGATTCGATTATTCCACTCGTTACGTGGCGATAATTCATTTGTCAAGAGTACAACGCGCGATTTCTCTCGAGCTTACGTTGAGAATTTTCGATTATTCCCAAAGAGGTATTGCGTAGCGTACTATGTATCGAACTAACGCAATAAGTATGATGATCGAACATAATTGGGACCACCGTGCAAAAGTGCAAGGTGTCGTGATAAACGATAGCAAAACGAGTTTTACTCGTCTCGATTGCTGTCTATATAGTTTGACAAACGAAAAAATAAGAAAAAAGAATTGTGACGAGTCAGGAGGATCTTAGAGTAACATTTGAAGCTTGATGACGAAGAAAAAACAAGGGTAGAGACACACACACACACACAGACACAGACACGGAAAGAGAGGAAGAGACAGGTAGTATGTGAACATTGTAAAGTATTTGGTAAACAGACAAAAATTTGATGAAAAAGTAAGCTTCTCTCTTTTTAGTACCGATGTATTGTCGCTAGATGTATTACAAAGACGTAAGAAGTATTCTTCGGCAGTACCATTATTATAACAAATGCCTGTGTATTTTACTTCTCGGCAAATAAAACCATCAAGTATTGTACGACTGCGTTGTTCGTGTCTACCTTAACATATTTACATTTTTACATCTAATTCGTTGCGAGTTCCTGATACGATTAAAGTTGCACAGTACACGGAGAAGTTTCGTTCATTCTACCAGCAACGTTGGATATTTAATCAAACTATGCGAGCAAAGAATGCGCGAATTTCTCCCTTCGTTCCTATAAATTCAATCCTCTGAAAGCTTTTTACAGACTATCATTCTAAATCGTAGTCACCGCCACTGACGAGAGTTCGAGAAGGAGGTAGATCGATTCCGAGCCACGTAATGCTCTCTTGAATGCTCTTCCTCCGCCTCTTTTCGTACCCCACAAAGCATTCCTTTTGAAAATATTCGAGTGTCATGATCCGCTAAAGACTCATTGGAAGAATCTGAAATTTGCTGAACAGGACGATTGCAAATGCTGCATTGTCGTCGTTTCAACGTCTTTGTTCCACGTGTCGCCGATAAGTTTGGCTTAGCAGAGGGATCAGAAGATGACGGCGAAGGAGGAGGAGACGGCGGAGGCGTCGAACACGTCTGCGATGCGGGTCTCCTTTGAACCTCGACGTTTGCCAACAGACGATAACACGGTGGAACGGCGTTGCATCGCAACCTTGTTAGAAGGTTGCTTCTTTTGATGTCCAAGTTCGACCGATTCTTATTATCGCGGATATATCGTCTTTGACTTTGGATGGCTTCGCGTCTGGCCAGAGTATGCTGAAGACTTCCACGGAATCTGTCGTAGATATCCGCCGAACTCATCCGTGGACGAATTTTGGAACAATTCGATCTTGAACTTCGTCGACTGTCGGAATCGTCGGCTCCGCCGCTCTCTCTACGAGTACCTTCGAGGTTACCGCGTTCCCAAATTTTATCAAATTTCTCCAGCACCTTCACGCGTCTACCAGAGTTCTGGTTCTTCACGATACTTTTCATCGAAGTATCAATGTTCGCTCTGAAGGATTTGAACGGTGCGACTGGATCCGCTTCTTCTTTCTCTTCGAGATCGAGAGCCACGAATGGAGGGGGTGGCGGTGGGGGTGGTAAATCCGTGGACGAGGAGTTGGCCGGTAGAGAGATGGTAGATTGACTGGCTTCCTTTAAAATGGCTTCAGATTTTGGTAAATTCTTAGGAAGGAGTCTCTCGTCTTCTTCATTCTCGTCGTCCTTTTTCAACTGGTCTTCCGACCGATGCTTCTCTTTCCTTCTTCTCTTGGAGAATAAAGCGGAACGCTGAATCAGTGGAAAACTCTTGGATCGAGCGGCCAAGATTTTTGAACGAATCTTTCCTAAAAGTTTCATGCTATTTGCCCTGTTTCTGCGACGTTCCGTAGGAACCTCTGTATCTTCCGCCTCCGATGTATCCGAGAAAAAAGAAGAAGCTAACCCTTCGCTCGAACGTACTTTTCTATTCCGAGGTATCAAAGTGTCCTTCGTTTCGGGTAAATCTTTAGGCCTGGAGAATATCCAAACGCGATAACGACTCTTCCGAGGACCTATGTAGTAATCATTGCAATGAGCGGTTTGTAGCAAACGGGACATGAACGACAATACCATCTGAAATAGTAGCAAGAAGAAAATGGTAGTCGAAAGCATGTTATACTTCGGTGGTTACTTTCGATGCATACTTGATACACGGATAAAAGAGCCAGATATCCAGCCAAGAATGTTCTAACAACTTCGCCTCGGCTGACGATTTTCGATCGACAACCAACGGTAGAGATGGTCAAATGCTTAGGGTCGTAATCGTATACTGCGCTTGGATTTAATATGTCATGATGAACGCAAGGTTTCGGGATGTTGTTCGAGCAACAGGAGAAGGGTACGTCCACTGGTGCCGGCGATTCTTCTTCTCGATCCTCTGACATTGACCTTGAACGCGAAAACGGATCGATGACACGACTCAAAGAATTTTGGTTAAGGTTAAAGGGTATAATGTCTAAGGACAATATATTTCGTAGATGCTACGGCGTTAAAGACAATCGGTTCGATTATACCCACTGCTCTTCCAGTCGAGGGCCGTTTTCCGCGTCCTCGGGCCCTTCCATCGACAGCTTGAGCCACGGCACACGGAACCAGTCCTCGTAGCTGTTGTCTCCGCAGCATTCGAGCTCGTTTTGAACAGCGTCCACTCGAGCTTTCACCGCGACATCGCTGCCGTATTTTTCGATCGCTTCGATCAAACCGTCGCGGCTCTTTTGGTGGAAACCGCTCAGCAGAAAGAAGTAAGCCGCGTTCAACATCGCCACTAGGAACCCCGACAATAGACAGAGTACAACGTGGAAGAAGAGCAGCCGATTGACGGCCTGCGGGTCCACGGTGTCGTCGGACTGACCATCGAGATCGTTTCTGGTCGACTCTAGTTTCAAGTGGAGCCAACACTTCGTTCCCAGAAAGTAGGCGGGCGAACAGAATATCGCGGCCGAGATGATCACCATGGTCCAAACGTGACCGTCACCTGCTCGTCGTGATCTGCTCGTTAACCCATACATACAATCTACAAATATGTCTAAACACATCTTAAGATAATATTCGTCGTGATCACGGTCAATCCGATACAGGTATTGGAGGGAATTTGAACGAGAAGGTAGTATCATACCGCAACTCGACTAATCGGGACTAACCTGGTGCAACGAGGTTCAGATAATCGCCAAAGCCTCTCTCGAACCTGATGGCCCATAGAATGGCGAGTACGAGAGCCACCATACCAGCCAGGTTCATCGAGACAACGACGAAATATAATGCTTTCACAGAGCCCCAGTTGTAAATGCCATTTACCAGGCCCATGTATTGTACGCTTTATGATGGATCGTTACCGGTATCCTACCTGTCATCGTAGACAGATTGATCCTTCTAATTTATCTTTACGGGTTACAACATGAAAAATTACACGAAATGTTACGTTCGTAACCTGAAGTACGATGCGATCGTTGAACATTACCTGACGTTATCTTTACAGCGTTTAATCGATTAACAGATAAAGGATATAGAAAAAAAGGTACAGTGTCGATCTTTTATTTTAAGCCGACGTTACGTTGGAAATAAACTACTCGCGCGTTAGAAAGACCATTTATTTGTATATTATATAACTTTTTCTTTGATGATAATATCGATCTATTACCAGCACTGTACTTACAGACAAGATTTAAGGATAACAAACTATCCGATTGCGATAATCAGTAAAAATGAAAATAATAAAATTAGTATACTATTACGGTACAGCCGCTAGCTGTAATCGATAATCGTATAATAAAAACTATTAATAGATATGCATATTGTTTAACGTATTCAATGAATGATAAATCATAATACAATTATATATTTTATATTTATACATGGTAGTAACAACTGATATTATCGGATCGACCTCGTTAAAAACTATAAAAAAAGAAAAACAGTAACAACGACGATAAGAACGGCAAGATGCGTGATATATCTTATCACGAAACTGCTCGTTGCAAACGTCTTATCAGCCAACTAACTATATACGCTAACGATCAAAAATATTCGAGACCACTGACTTATGACATTTCTTCGACTCGTATCTTAATCGAATACGTAATTAACCTCGAGATTAGTATTTCTGAATGGGGTTATAAGCGATCCCTGCAGTTCCATGTAATGCAACCAAAAATTAGTAGTAGTCTCAACTTTTTGATCTACAGAGTAGAAACAGCGTCGTGGAGGGAAACCGCGTTTCAAAAATAACTCATCGCGTATAATAGAGATGATCAGAGATTTCCGAAATCAGTAGGAAGTTGTTAACCAAGGCTATAATTGATAGAGCAAGAACAATATCGCGACTACATACGGCGCATCATTGTTCGATACACCGACACGAGACAAACTACGAAGCATCGTCAACGTATCATGTGCCATATTGCGGTTCGATAAAGTTAGTTATTACAGTTACGTGGTTCCCTCCGCGCGTTTGTTTAACATCGCCATTATTCTTTCTTCGGAGTTAACAACTCTTTCGATCGTATAATTATTTCATATAATTTTAATCGATAGCGAATACAAAATTTGTATGGTAAAACATACACTCGTTCTACACCTTTGAATCGATCAGAGAGATAATTAGTTTCTAATTGTTACAAAATGACCCCTATTTAAGATCATTCGTGATAGGTCCCTATCGATGAACGGGACACTCTTATCGCACCTAAATGACTAATTCCCTAAAAAATGCATTGGCACTTTTTGCGCGAGAATCGCGACTCGAAATGATACGTGACTTACATAATCTTATCAAAAGGGAAAAAGTCCCCTTACACTTCGTGCCAAATCGTTGAACTTGCTGTATAATTTCAGCTTATTACTACCAGGGATATGATTATTAACTCTGTATTATTGAAACATTCAACTTGCTATGTTACATTGCACAAGTCTGTATAATTATATTAAATGTATGATTAATTGTAAGCAAAATATGAATATTTATACAACTGTTACATTTTCGTTCCCTCTAAGTTTGCAGTTCGAGAAAAAGAAATATGAAACAGAAAACGAGAAAAGCTTGTTCCGATAAAACTGGTGGTCCACGGGGCGCATTAAACAATATTGTAGAAATCATACGATAACGAAACAAGTTCTGTACGAAGTGTATGGAAACTTCTTCGACTAATTGTAACACGATTCACCAATGAAAAAATATCAATATCTCTGTACGATACGATACGCTACGCGTGTAAAATCGTTAAACGAAAACCTCGACCGAATTCGAGGATTTAGCGTTTAATTGCCCGCAACCAATACCAATCTTACTTAGAAAATCTTGCACGCCGTATTGCAATCCTCTTTTCCATTTTCATATTCTCCTTTCCTTTTTATCTCTATAAGCTATGCATCACTTTAGCACTCATAGAGTACGCTTTTATACGAGATTCCGATCTAACAGAGTTCCAAAGAGGTCCGGTTGTACTTGCAACAACCCACTGTTGGACATTGTTGAATCATAGTCGAAATTCTCGAACGACATGATGGGTGAGGACGGTGACACTATGGAATCTCCGTTTATAAACGAGTTGGACAATTGTTTCTTCGAGACTGGGCTTAACTGGTTGAAGGACGATGCGACAGATCCACCGGAGTCCGTACATTGTGGCACCATCTGGTTCTCCAAGTTCACGGACAGAGGAGTCGTCAAGTGTTTCGGATACAGCGTTGGCACGTTGCGCGAATTCATCAAACTTTCCTAAAGAACAAACAAATCGATTAATATTACAGAAACTTATCTACGATCTTTTATATTAACGTTATCGCGAATTCGAGTAACATGTCTGTCTACTACTACGTTAGGGGAGATGATAATTTTACATTTTTTAGCAGTTTATAGTTACTATTGCAATACTCGTGGAAAATGGAACCGAGATAGCAAAGAAATCGAACCCAGAGCCTTTCCTGTTTATAAAGGATAACTACTTAGTGTTCCTTGCTAATTCTGTATCTTTGTAGGAATTTGTGAATACTAAAAGGAAATTAGTGTATTAGGACTGTCCAAGTCTGCTTCGATGTTTATACTTCTTAGCTACTTCTTCGTTTAGTATCCCTTCAAGTTTTAGCCATTGTGTACTTTGAATTTAACCGTAATGCATGCTAATTTCATCTTTCAAAGCTCCGCGATTCGCGACTCTATATCCACGGAAATCAATGTTTTCGTAACTGGTTACGTTTCGTTACTTAAGGAGTGCTGCGTTTCGTATGAAAGACCAGGAAAATATGGGAAATTTTTTAATGCAAACAATATACATTTCGAGCTGTACCGTCTGTATTCATCCACGCGTTTATTATCACAATTATTCTTTTTATTTGAAAGTACACAAATATATTTTCTATAAAACTTCGACATAAGCTCTTCCTACTATTTCATAATCCACTATAATAAAACTACCGTTGATAAGAATTACTCTAAACGATTCTAAAAAATATAAAAAAAAAATCTAATCATTCCTTGTCCTTTGCCGACGATTCAAAGAGCAATCGTCTAATAATTTATATATTTTATCGTTAAATTTCTGTTATCTAAGTTTACGGAACATATTTTTCATGCAATATCTTCTAACATAATCGTTTCGTAACCAAACACAAGAGAATCCACCGATCATCGCAATCGATAATTCCTGTTTATTGGCCGCAATATATGTTCCTCGAAGAGATACTTTTGTTAGTATAGAAGAATAGAAGAAACACGATCGAAGGAGCACGTTGGCCCCTAAAAAAAAGGTGTACTCGATGGAGGGCGATTGGAGCGGAGGGATGAGAAAGAAGGAGGAAACGAAACGCAGCAAAAGTTCAGATGATTCGATGTTCAATGTTCAATGTATTTTGACAATCTTCAATCAACAATTTCCATATACTTTCAAGTAGAATACATAACGTGACTTTAAAAGAGCGATACGATTAAACGAACTACGGATCGAGCAAAAAAGTTACATTTTTGTCTCGTATATTGCTCGTATACTCCTGTACCCGTTCTTCTCGATTCATCCGGATACAGGAGCCACGATTTCTCTTTGTATTTCTTTTTTGTACTTGTTCCAATTTCTCGACTCTTAATACTCTCGGTTCGATCATTCTCTCTCTTCCTCTCTCACTCCCTCTCTTTCTCTCGACTCGTCTACGAGTAATCGCGATTGCACTGCTTGGAAACATTCGCCGAGTCCAACTCGATGGCGAGCGCGAACGTAAGCACAGTATTCGTCTAACGATACCGTTTCTGATCTTCAAACTGTCGACGTCGTAACAGAATGAAAATAGAAAAAGGGGGCAGAATCGACCGTCTCGATGTTAAGAGTCTATCAACGGTCAACAAAGGTACGATCCAAAGAGACGGTCAATCCCTTGCCTGCTTAACCGATGCATACATGTCGAGACGGTGAACGAACGTTCCTCGCACGAAGGTCGCGCGTCCGCGAACTTGATCGCGTACGCGAACACATGGACAGAATCGAAAGGAATCGATCGAAGGTTCACGCGCTCGCGATACTGTTGCTGGGTTTCGGTTTCGCGAAGCAAACGTATCCCGCACTCACGTCGCAGCCGGACACCAGGAGATTCATTAGCACGCTGTTGCACGCTGGATTCCGCTGCGAGGACAGATTCGCGTCGCCGTTTTCGCCCTTTCGACGACACTTGTCACCTCCTCCGCCTTTGGTACCGCCCCTATCGATTTCGCCCTCGTCCACGTCCGGGTCGTTCGCGCGTCGACCGTCGAACGATTCGCTCGAGAAATCGTTGCTCCTCAAAACCGTCTGCTGCTGGGACACCAGCCGACGAAGCAGCTGACTGCCAGCGACGTTTGCCGTCTTTCTCGAGCCAGTCTGTTTACCCAACAGATGATCCTCCAGCACTAGGCTGCCGCGTTTCGCGGACTCGTCGCATTTTATACGTTTATTGTCGTTGTCTATCGTGTCCATCGAGGCAGTGTGTATGCGTTTCGTTGGTCTGTCCAACTTGGAGGACCAGTTATAGCTATCTAGATTCGGGTCTAAAAAGAACACAGTTTCGATTATGGTCAGCCATGGTCTGCCGATTATGGAAACGCGACGAATCGATGAGCTACGCGTTACGAGAACCACTTACTTTTTCGAGGTATTTGTCCGAGAACTTGGACAGGATTGACCAAGCCCCCTCCATGATCGTTGTACTTTCTAGAAACGACTTGGTCGGTTTTTAGGAGTTGCGCTAGACTGGAATCGGACGTTCGTTGTTCTTTGTCGTCTACTATCCTGCAAAACATCGCGGAGACGGTTAGCGTTGTCCCCAGACTTTCGGGTTTCGCGTAACCTACCATTTCGAACCGCTTTTATCCGCCGTATGAGGTGGACTCCACATCACCATGTCGTTGCTGATTAGCAAGTCCAGTGCTTCGTCCTGATCGGACATTGGGATGTACGGTGCTCTCAGAGCTAATTCATCGTCACCTATACTATCGTTCAAACCTAACATTAACATTTCATCTTCTGATAATCCCTCAGCTCCACTACCACCTGTTGGACTACCTAACGAATCTATACTTCGTTCTGGGCTCTGCAACGATAACGAACATGATTTATTTTATCTTTCTTTTACTAGCAAGGGTTTCGGCGGATCCGACTCATCGCCAAGGGTCGTTAACTTTTTCCTTGCGGATTACTGGGTGAAGCGATCCAGGTACACTTGGCAATGCGTCGAACAAGCGAAAAGGTTCCAGGTAACTCACTTGACGGTACTTGGAGAGAGACGGCGAAACCGAGTTCGGATCGATGCTGCAAGGACTGCTAGGCGAATCAGCGTACATGAACGGATCGCTATCGGCCAGAGACTCCCCTAGGCTCTTGTTCCTCGCGTTGTCCGTTAAGTCGGTGTCCTTTAGAGGATCACCGAAATCCGTGGGTCGCAGCTCGGGCGCGAGGGCACTGCCGGGGCTCAGGAGAGGACAATAGTTGTCGTTACCGAGGATAAACTCGTCTAGCATGTCAGAAAGGAACGGCGTGTCTTCCAGGGGGACGCAGACGTCACCAGGTGTAGGCGCCAGATGCGTCAGATCCTCCGGTTCGTCCTTTAACACTGTAACACACATCGAGAGTCGAGAAATTCGATCGAGCACCGTCGAGAAAGACCGGTTTACTTCCGGAACAATAAATAACGTCCCCGTCAAGTCTCGTGTTGCAAGTTCCGCGCAACGGCAAGATTTACGACTACGAGGCCTAACTACGAATTCGTTCGTGCCGGTTACGAAGCGCTTCTTTCTCCCTCTCCCGTCTAGCCTTATCTTTTTCTCTTTGTCTTTTTTCGCTGGCGCCGTTATCGTCGCGAAGTTACGTATTGCAACATTCGTCAATGATTATCGGCCTGGCGAGAGAGAGATGAAACTCGTAGGCATAGGAAGCTGCACGCGCGATGACGAACACGGTGTCGCAAACTCCTTAGGAAATTGGGAACAGTTTATCCGAACGTTAGACATCGATTTTATCGCCTGATTTGTCCGTAAAATCGGACGCTGTCACGTTGATTTCGGCTGGCGATTATTTTTTCTACGAGCGATAACAATAACGTAATACCGTCTCGAATCGTGCTTGCGATAAATAAATGTAAGTGTAAATCAAATTTTTTACTCGTTCGCGCGGTACTTCTTCTGTCCTACGTCACAACTGTAACGACCGAGTAAAATACCTTTCGATTTCAAAGAACGATCTAGTCAAGCCCAAAAGACACTCACTCGTTAAGCCTGGATGATCCTCGCTGAAAGTTAAGAAGCCTTTGTTCATGTCCTCGGTACGAGGCGCGAATATGCTCGCTGTTGCAGTCTGCGGCGGTGGTCTGCAAGAGATCGGTTCTTGTTGTTGTTGTTGCTGTTGCTGCACAATCGGTGCAAACAGGTGTCTAGTGACGGCCTGAGGCCTGCCCTGGCGTACCGCGGTCTCCGGATCGTATTCCACGGCAGGTTTACCCTAAAACAGAATCGTAAATTCAACGCTGGAAGTTTTCTGTAGGTTTCCCCAATGTATTCGCGGATGAAACGCGCGTACGTACATTCTGACTTCTCTTACAAAAATCTGTTTCTGAAATTGTCGAACATCGCGTACATCGCCTACGCGAATACAGACAGCGATTACCGCGAAGGAAATGACGCGACGAACGTATAAACGGGTGGTCGAAAGTTTGGACGTGACGTACCTGGAAAACGAAGGGAGGCCGGCTAGCCGGTTGTCGGCGGGACTCCTTCCGTTTCGGCTCGTCGTTCTCTTTGAGGGATTCCTCGAGCGAGTCCTTGAGAGCTTGCACACCGACGAACGATTTCTCTGTAGCGTGGACCGGTCTCGGGAAGGTGTTATCCTTCCGCGAGCCGTCCTGAAGCTGAGCGGATCCCTTGTTCGGTTTATTAGCCGCCAGACGGAAGGTCGAGGCGGTGACTGTGAACGGTTTGGCGCACTCGAACGGGCCAGCGAGTAATTCCGATTGGCCAACGGAGACGGACAGCTCTTGATCGACGGCGTCGAAGGCGGCTGTCTCTTCTAGTTTGTTGCTGTTCACTCGCACCTGGAGTTGAAGCTTCGCCGGTTCGACGTCGCTCGAGCCGGTCACCTTTTCCGGCTTCACGACGGTCTCGGTGTCGCGCGCTGCGAGCTGTCTCGCGCTGTACACCTCATCCTCGCGTTCCACACCGCTGAAATCAGAAATCCTACCTGGTGGAGACTGTCACACGCTCCCTCCAAGGGAACATGGCTCTCGATCGCGACGAAACTCACGGTATGCGTTACGCTTCGAATTTGTCTCGGTGGACGAGCGAATCGAGCGCGGCGGACCAGGCGAAATAACGAACGATGGGAGACGTATACCGCTGGCTAGAGGCGAGTCGCGAGAATAAAGCGCGAGTCGGCCGAGATCGAGCGAGCATCTTCGACGGCCTAGTTAGGGAAGGCTTGAACGGCCGCGGCGCGACGACGTTCGAGCTCCCCCCGCGTTCTCTCCACGAGCTCTCGGGTCCTGACCCTCGTACGAGAGAGTGAAGCACATGGCCACGGCTTTTAGCTCGCGAGTTATCCCCTTACGTAACAATTACGCTCGATCGCTACGGAGAGGTTGCGAACGCGCGCGCTCGCTCGAACGCTCGTTCAACCGACACTCGCCAACCATGAACGCGACCCCCTTCCTTCTATCCTTCAGCCCTCCGATGGGAAACGTTACCCCTCTTGAGCGCAGTACCTACTGCGACTCGCCTATACAGGCACCCAACTTCTACACCTCGAGTAACTTTTAAAGTATACGTTATAGGAGAAACTTCTATGATTCGAAGAAACACGTTACGCGGTCTATCGTTATTGCTAAACTTCCGAAACGTATTTTTTGTCGAAGCCATGGCAGCTCACTAGGTCAGTTCGTGATGGAGGAAAATATCGTATACGTGTAAGTTTGCAAATATTTTTTTTACTTGGATATCGATTCAGTTGTTTGAACGCCTTAAAATGCGTTTGAAATTTTATGCGTTGATCGATTTATCGGAGGTCGTCACGCAATCCCTTCGAGCATGATAAGTTGACGTTTCTGGTGAAAATTTTCCTCTATTTATTGAATACCAGAGAAAAAGATTGATCCGTGAACTTGTAATCAGGGTCAAATTTTTCTGTGTATACTGGATGACGCATAAAAAAACATCGTACATCGGATTAGCGAAGATTCGGCTCGCTATCGGCCGAAAGGTGGTGTCTAATCAATTTTACGGCCTATGTTTAGGTATATCTCGAACAGAAAGATAGATAAATATAGCCCGGAATGTCGAAATTTAACGATAAATAAGAATCGTACAACGCACACGCGACGATATTGCGGTACACGATCGTAAATTTCTTTCGGTTGGCTACGTTCGTCTAATAGCTGGTCACGAACAGAAGAAGTAGTCTTTCCGCTCTCGTAAAAGCGCTGGCATTGATCATGAAGCGCCAAGAACAATGTAAAAGAGTTAAGTATGTAGATAGAGTGTTGAGGTTCGTCGAGAAATAAATGGGTTATCGGGAAGGTTAAGGCTGTTCGCGAGTCGCGATGCTCGCTCGGAAAGATCGAGACGAGAACCGCGAACGGAGGCTTAATCGCGCGCATGTAAATGAGCCGCCAAGGATTTTCGCAGACGAGGGAAACGGATAAACGGGAAAGATTCCGCGCGGAGGGAACGCAACGCAGAAGCAAGACACGCGTACTGCCGGCTCGAGACGTTTATCGGCAATGTCGTAACTAGGTAAGTACTTCGTACAACCTACGACCCAGGTGCTACGCTGTAGGCCGAACACCTATGACTTAGTTCCATTTGTTACGCGATCGACTGCTCGAGCTACGGTGTGCAATCGAAACCTCCTTAACCGATATTTTTCCTAAGAGCAAGGAGATTTACTGTCGGTTATTTCTAAGTTCGACATCTTTACGGATCTCCGAGATCGTTAGAATGGTCGTGAAGACTTCGGCGAGAATTAGAAGCGTATGCTGATGCAGGGTAGGAGCAAATTAAAGATAGACAATGTAGATTTGGTGGCGATGGTTCCCTAGCTAGTTACGGCAATGCTGATGGGTGTACGCGTGGCGACGATAGCTCGAGATGCGTTTCGTCACGGCATGTATACGTCGACTGGAGCAGTAACCGACTTTAACCAGTCGCAACGGCTCGGTAATTGTCGTAAATTGACCAGCGGGACCCCAAACGTGGACGATACGAGCGTGGTCGGTCGAGCGTGTGGAAATCACGCAGGAGAATCTCGTCGAGAATGCCGTCTGCTGAAGCTTCTGGCGAGAATACGTGCGCCTGCTCGATGCTATGTAAATAACTGTTATTTCACCGATAGCGAGAAAACGAAGCCTCCATCATAATTTCCCTTATCGTTCTTTCTTACGCGCTCGTAATCGATTCTAATAACTCGCTCATATAATACCAGCCTCCGACTCTTTCGTTATAAGATACTTTAACTACAAGTTATCCCCTTTTTAATACACTGATTGGTTTACATGAACTTGTGCGAATTAAATTAGTTAAGGCAATCTGTATTAATTAACTCCGACAGCTTGCATTATCGTCTTTCGAACGTGCGTATCGAATCGATTAAGAATTGAAAAATAATTGGAAACGTATTAAATAGCTGTCGTCACTAGCAGCTTCCTATTCATTCTCCTCTTCTCTCATTCTCGTTTCCCCACCATTCGTCGGACGCGTTAGAGGGAACTTCGTGCAACTTCGTGATCTATCGGTTCGGTGTTCTATCGTGCGAGTGAATCGATCGAGGGATTGAATGGTGGCTAATCGATTTCATCGCGACTATCGCGTTTCGAGAAGTTCTTTTCGCGGTCGCGGCTTTGCGAATCAGCTTGCATAACGACGTAGCACGATAAAAAAACGCGGCTTCGAGTGGGGGTTATTTTTAGTTGGCCAACGGTCGTTCGTCTTCGAGTGTTTCGAGTTTGGCCAGCGAAATGAATTCCGCCGAGCGGCTCAAGTAGGAAAATAAATTGTACGACCTCGTAGAAGCGTCGATGGTTCAGGTGACAAAGCGTTCGCTCCCGAACCCGAGATTCGCGAGTTCGAGACACCCCACCACTTCTTCGATCCGATTAACCACTTTTTTGCCGCGTTTAAATCTTCAAATACGAAAGTTAAAAAATAAAAGACTCGATAAAATCTAAATTGCGCTGATAGTCTAGAATTTAACGGGTTGACATCTTAGAATAGACGAACAAGTCGATAATATTTATTCGACCCGCTTGCGAAGATGATCAACGTGATTTGTATTAATATCGTGACAGCTTACGGTTGGAGCTCTACGATTATTCCGGAACGAAGAGAACGCGGATATGCAACGATAGAAGAATCCGAGCTACTCTAAGAAAATTCCTAGGTGAAAAAGTGCTGGAACGTACATATCTTTGACACCGTGATAATAATTGTTAACTCCTTTTAAATTATCGCGTCTCGCTACCTGATATCTCTTGCGAACTCGATGAAATCAAAGTCGAGATCCTAATGCACGGTATTAAGAGTCCTTTCCTTGCCAGTACACTCTACATTTAACGAGATAGAGAAGTAGAGCCGAGTGTATGAAAATTGTACGATGAACGAAGAGGAGAATAAGAGAAGGGATCGAGTTAGGTGCAAGTTAAATATGCGGCCGGTATTGTTAAAAATAGAGTGACGGCCGACCGCCGGGTTGCTTGTGCAATCGAACACGTGGGACCAAATATCCCCTCTTTTCCCTGTAACCGCGTGTGAGAACCCTTGTTTCCTGTTATGTCGGTTCCTTGTCTTTCGATCATCGATCGTTCGATCCTTACGCGGGATCTGAACGCCTTCGATGCCACGATTAAAATGGAACATCGATCACTTTTAAACTTAACGCTCTGACGACGCTTTCGAGTCTTAACCTGGTAAACATCGACGTACTTTGATAGAAATTATAATAACCGCATGTTTAAACGGAATACCCGCATAGCGAAAACGCAGTCGAACCTTCGGTCGTATTGCCATCTGGACACGAATTTTCACGCATGCTAGAGACGACGAAATCCACTACTATAGCCCGAGATTTGCACCTTGTATCACCGCGCGTTGTAACATTAGTGTTCTGTCGCCAACACGATTATTACTATTTAAAGAAATAGTATAAAATTTCGATAACACCCATCCCCGCGTCGGAGATTAACCTCGGTGGTAAGAGAAGAGCAAAGTAAACGAGTACTCGCGGGAAAGTTGGTAGCCCTATTGTCCCTCTGGCGGGCGACGCGATTACCAATCCGTACAATAGCGTTTCTCGTGCGTAACCCCTGTCGTTCCTCTTGAAAATCGGTTCGCGTCCCTGGACGTCAGAAAGAGAGTGACTCGTTTGTATCGTGGCCAACAGTGAAGTTTACGCCACGATATTACGGAATGTTATTTTTGCATGGGTAGACGGAAGCGCGTGCCGTTTTTCACTTCAAGGGCAGCCACGAAGATCACGCGTTTCCCTTCGAACGATCGGAGAGCTATTCTAGGTACGATTTCGTGCCGATTATCCAGCTCGGTTGTTTGTTATTGGGCGATAGTTCGATGCCAACCAGGTGACATAGCACGAATCCCTTTTTTCTCTCAGGGCGAGGAGCGCGAACGAGGCAAAGGCCGCGAACGAGAACGCGTGCCGATCACGGTACGTGCCAACAATCCTTGGCAGCTCGGTCTTCCCTCTTTCTCTTTTTCTTTGCGTGTCCCTTCGTACGATACTTTTTTCTTCTCGATAGCAACGATTTAGCTATTACGCGGGTGTTCGATGACTCAAATTTTATACGACTCAAAAAGGGAAGAGCAAATTCGAAGTACGGAATAAAAGAACTTCGATGTCAGACCCGCTTATATTATTATATTACTCGCTTTCAACACAGGAAAATGATGAGAAGGGAAGTAGAATCCTTCGAGTTAGATCGGGCCTGTCCACGAGATACCCTGGTGATTCAGGGCGCTACGGTTTGTCACGAGATAAGCGATCACAGAGACGGTACAAAATAAAAGTAATACTATCCGTTTGAAATTTTTCTTTTTTCTCTTTGACTATAAAAGTTTTCGACAACACGTATTTAGGCAATAAGGTTCAAATAAAATCCATGATGCTACATTTGGGTTCGCTTTTGTTTCTCTTTCTGTAGTAGGTGGATTAAGCAAAGAAGCTACCGTCGTGGATCGGTAATTCTCATGGCAGCGAAGGCGTTAATTGCAAGAATTTGACGGATCCCACGAGTACGAAACAACAAGACACAGTGCCTACCGTGTAAGTGTGACTGGTCTACTCGTGAATAGACGCAGCTCGTGAGTTACGTAACAAGATTCGCAACGACAAACAGCGCTCCTCCTCGTCGAGTTTTACCCTCCAGTCGAGAATTGATCGATCGCGCGATTCGAACGCGTGGACTTGGTCGCGCGATCGCTTCGCGTCATGCGTTGCGTCGCGTCGGATGTTCATGAGGATGCAAGGTAGAAAATTTTCAGCGAATTAGCGAGCCAGCGTGTAGGCGCTTTATATCTCGGACCTCGACGTTTCGTCACGTTTCACTTGACGTTTACGCCGTTTTCAGCGGCGAGTCCCGTGACCAGGAACACGACTGACCACGATCGAAATTCGATATCGAGAAATCCTTCCCGACACCTCCGCGTCGCGTACATTTTTCTTGGTTGAATGATCCAACTTGTAAACAAATGAAGGATCCGATAATGAACATCGATGGAAATTCAAGTACAGCCAGTGGCTTAACTAAGCGGGGTTCAAGGTGTCTGCTCCCTAATAATTATAAGTTAGTGGAACGTTCAAAATATACGACGATTCAAAACGGGAGTAACTAATTCTGACAGATTATTACTCGTGCCGCTTCACGGTATAACGTAGGAAATGATTCTTGCGAAATCCGAATGAAAAGGAATCTTTAACCATCCATTGAGATTTCGATACTTTCGAGAGAAAATACTTTTATAAAGTATTTAATAAAATGTAAAAATTAGTTCGTGAAGGAGTTAAATGAAACTGGTATAAATAATGAGCTGTTGATGCAATAGATCCAATCACAATCAATATTTATTACAGAAACTTGATATACTTCTTTACTTTATTTCCTAACAATTACCTTTTCTTCGTGTTGCCTAACATATATCTTGAAAATAATATCATCATTAAACGGTAGGAAGAGTTGTTGACTGAAAAGCGTCGTAGAATCGTTTTAATCTGTTTGGAAAGTCTAAGAGCGAAACAACCCAGCAGCTTTACCGCGTTCGATTTCGGAGTAACAGGTGCAGAGATAGCTGCCCCTTTAAAGCGTGTAATATAAACGCTCGGGTTCGGAAGTGTCATTACGCTTATTCTTCAATTTACAAACCTCTTCTGGTAAACACCTAACGTCTAGAAATTTTTGTTCCGACAATACGTTACGCGAGAACAAATATGTTGCGAAAGTCGCTCGAAAATACTTGCCGTAGAAGATACAAAAGCTATCGTTTGATCGAACAACCGACAGAATACAAAACAAGCGGCCGTTGTACAAATATCGTCAACCTGCCTCGGCAAGTAAGCCGTGTCGGTTAAACAGATCCGTTGTTACCAACAATTTGTTATAACTTGTTAACAAAGTATTGTTATAAGCCTTATGTTTATGTAACAATCGTAGAACGTACTCTCATGGCATAACGCGAAAATCCTGGAACACCCTGTACAAGTCGATACACGCAAATCGAAGCCACGAGTCGATAACGAGAGATAAAGCACAAATTTTCGACGCACCTTTCCGGCGAAAGTTTTGAAACGACACACGATCGGCACTACACACTGACACTTATTCACGCAAACGTTGCACGAGCACTGGCAAGTTTCGTCGTCGCGAGAACGAGCGCACTTCTGGTTGCACTTGCTGCAACGGCCGCGCGAGCGTTTGCGTCGCCAATTCGTCATTCAGCCATTCTCGATTAGCGAATCGCGATTTCGATCGCATCTCGCATGTTTCCCTCGCTTTTGCCGATGCTAGCACACGGATGGGCAGCTGTGCCCGCGAGGACACGGTGCACGGATGTACAACCGAAGCGCATCCGTGCCCACCAATTTCGCAAATTCAATTTTACTAAAAAATTTCAACGTTTGCTACGACAGTGCGGTTACCTTGTGTTTCGATGGAAGAATCAACTATGAAACGGCCATTCGCGGTTATCGACCGATAAGTAAAGATACGGTTCGCGATATTCGATTCGGTTTCATAAAGTAACTCAAAATTTTACATTCGTATACACGCGTGTGTTGGAATTTAATTACCGATCATTAATGAATTTGCAAGTATAATACACTGTTTAGTATTCAAACTGTGCTAGAATATTAGATCACAACATACGGAATTTCTTTATAACCGTGTTACGTTACCAGCTGTTTCGCAAAAACTGTTATACCGTGGGATTTCTCGTGGGTCAATGGTACCATAAGTTCAGAAAACTTTGACCCGAAACCGGAAAGCTTTTATTTAAGAGTAATTCAATTTTGACACGAAAAAACACAGGAATAATTAAGTAAGACTCACCGAGTTGTTCGAGAAGGGAGCGGTTGTTACGCATACGCGACCATTGACTCGCAAAAAATTTCAACTTAACGAATGCTGTTCGCGCGACGTTGCGGAAACAAAGTTCTGTCGCGAAGTTTTATACGCGATCATGTATTCCGCGAAATTCTTACTGTCCCGACTTTGATTATCGATATCGAACTACGGCAACTTTCGATTACATTTTTATACAGAAATCAGGTGTCAAAAAATTGTAACACATCGACGATCGAACGTAAAATACGACTTATCGAACTAATGTCACATAAACGAATATTTCCCACTGATTCGAAGAACGCGTACAATATCGATCAAATGGTTATCATCGAAATACAGGGAACAGCCTTTAACGAGAATTAACTCGATACAGAAAAGAACGCGGTATCGATTCACAGTCAATATTGGAATCAACGATATCTATTAGCAAGTCGTGGAGTTGAAATATTCGAATACCACCGACATTTGAATTCGAAATCAAAATCCGAAGTGGTTTAATTAATCAGTGAAACCGCACGCGTCCAAGATTAAAACTCGTTAAATCTTACGTACTTCCATCAAATTATGATACGATTAATCCACTGACTCGATATCGGCTTAATCTCTTCAACTCTCGACGAAGAAGAAACGAACTGGAGACACGCTTCGAACACGTTCGACGGCAAACGATCATTAAAGAAATCAGCCGCGAGCCGCGAGGTTTCGCACGAGTCGGCTCGCGATCCACTAAAAACACGTCGCTAGTCGCAGAATTATCTTTGCCACTCGAAGATAAACTAGGAAGTTACGAAATTCGACGTAACGTACTTTCGAACTCGTCCCACGTCGTTGCTCCGTCGACGAAACCGAGTCATCGAAAGAAAAATAGAAAGAATAATAACGAAAAAATAGATAAAGGGAACGATGACGGGAAATATATACGGAATAGATAACGAATTAGACAAACAAGAGAACGAAACCGAGAGAGAGAGAGGAATGGAAGAAAGAGAAGGGATAGATGATGCGGGAGAGTTGTCTTCCGGTCGGCTGAAACGAAAATACCCCAACTGCTCCCCCTTTTCGTGAGTTTTCGCGACACTCTAGTCTGGAGTTCGATGTCCTGCTTTTATCGAAATCCGTGCGACACGCGCCACTCTGAATTTCTGCCAGTTTCGCCAGGGATTTATGAATTCCAGCATTTCGTCGTTTGCCTTTCATCGATATCTGGCACCAAATTTTTCTACCGAACATTATATTCGTTAATTTATAAATACGTGCTCACAAAACTGTCTCGATAAATATGTAACTTTTTCCTGTTCATCCCCTAATCTTTGCTCCTGGCGTTTCCGAGGACGCGCGAACTGTACGGACGTTTACTCCCTCGAGATTAAACTAATCTCCCTTAGGGATCAAGATAAGAATGTCCCCTTTTATGACCGTTTACGACGTCGATATCGGAAAAAACTTGGTTTCTTCGGACAGGAAGTTTCGCAAAAATTTCAGCATTTTGTTACCGCGATTGTCTGAAACTTCCAAAATTGCTTCTTCTACAAGGAACACTTATTAACACATATTATGCGGATGTTACGTAAATAGTGAAATCAATAGAATAATCTAGAGTGTATCGGATGAAAACACAATAATTGAGATTTTTCTCGATATCTGGGACAAGTGTATTTTGGCGGGTCGTTAACCCATTTCCGAAGGTAGAAAACAAAGATGAAAGGAAAACTGTAGGTATAGCGGGTCGAAATGGCACCAGTGGCTCGTATATCGTGGACGACTTTAAAAATACATGCTGGTCGGCATCGAAGATTTAATTGAGGACGTCGAACCGAGGCATTCGCCACGCGTACTCGATCACAGGATCGATGCCGATCGAGGTAGCCGTAAATCCTTGAATCGTGACGAATAATCCATGAGCGATCGTTAACGTGCAACGCGATCACCGGTCACGCAACACCGCGTTACTCTTTATTACCAGGTTAAACTTCTAAACTCGTACCGACGCCGACAACAATGAACGCGGATAATTTCGCGTTATAATTGGATCGATAGGTTTGTTCGTACAAGCTAATTCTTCGCGTGTCAAGTCTTATCGACCACGAGCTTAGTAATTGAATTCGTTAATCGAAGCGTTTACTAATTAATAACTCTTTGAATAGCTAATGATTGGCTTGTAATGAAAATTAGAAATTCAATCGTGCCACGATCTTTACGATACTTTCTCCAATTATTTATTTCTATTTAGTCGGTCAACGACGGTCTAATCCGTGCAAATTTGGTAGCGTGTTAATCGGTTAAGTACGACGAACCAGTTGCGACGATCGTGTCTGAGATCATAGCAGTTATTGTAATAACGCGTAATTGTAGCAAGACGGAATAGAAGTTTCCATGGGTGGACGCGATTATCTGTACGGGATACGAACGGAAAAGCAGTCACGCGGTCACGTGTGTATAATAATAACGAATCAACGAGCAGCCTCTATTCGGAAACGATCGAAATCTGTGAGATTCGTCGGTGACACGTGCGCTACGTGTGCGCGATTGGAACAGCAAGGTCTCTTCGCGGATAACAGCCTGCCAGAAGTTTGCGCATGCACAATATTAGGGTACTGCTCGATGTTTTATGGATCTGCAACAACTACTAAGGAAAATACGTTCGGTCTCTCGTTTTCGATTCGGACGTGTTATCACGATTATTATTAATCGTAACTTTTTTTTATGAAATTTTTGTCGTTCGAGCTGAAAGTCTTCGTGGTTATCAAAATGATCGATTTATCGGATTCATCGCACTTCTCTTCAGTCGCATACCGCGCCTACGGTCGCTGAATACGAATTATGCAATCGTAACGGATAGCAGTCAAGGTCCCTCCGTTCGCGATTCTTTTTACTTCACAGAAATTCGCTTGCAAAAATCGAATCGAGTCTCTTCAAAAACCATACCGAAGTAATAAGTACAAAAATGTTCTGTAGTTTTCCACGAAATTATCGAACAGCGATAACTCTTGTACCAGAATCTATTGTTTTGTAGAAACAGGTGACAAGCGATAAATGAGGCGATACGAAAAGGCGGGAAACGGAAAATTTGATAAATCGGAGATCGAAGTTCGATCAAGCATGGTAATGGTAACTGTAATCGGGTCAGGATTGATATAACGCGACGACTCATCGCTGACGTTCGAAATCTCGATTATTTTCAGAGAGGCAACACCACGCGGTCATCGCGTTTTCTGACGTTCGGCGAACGCTCGTAAATCACAACAATGTGCGCACACGCAATCTTGCTCTCTTGGCTAACTTATCTCCCGCCGATAAGGACAAAAATTATCGGCGAAGAAACGACAGACATACCCGAGACACCAATTTTATTTCGTCTTTTACTCGAAACGAAACCTTTTTTTTTAACATTTATACGACTTCGTAATATAATTTAATTTGCAAATTGTTGCAGTTTTTATCGCTTGTAAATTATTTTAAATAAGCGCCGTTTGTAATCTAATACAATTAAATATATAGTACATTGTATTAGAAACCTGAATAGTAAGAGAACAGCAGGAAGTTGCGAGACCACGAGTTTACGCAAACAACCGAAAGAAAGTTGAATGTCTATAAAGATTCTCCGGTAAAGCTACTCGAGTACCGCTTTATCCGCGTGCGAAAAAAATTTAACCTACTATCGTGTTTCAGCGGAAGTAACGTAACTGCATGTTAATGTGTACAGAATATCCAAAGTGTGCCGACATACTGCAATCCGATTAGTTTTTAGATATCGAAGGTATAACAGAATCATTGAAACTTGCATCTTTCCGCGATTATAACAGAAATGTTGAATGACAAATATCGAATACTCGAATCCAGTTGATCTGTTCAATAAATCGGATCGAGTTGCAATGTTACAACTACAACGAAAAAAACACTACACATAACATACCAAATGGAAAAAAAGAACTACCTATATTCTACTATCCCTAAGAGGAATAAATGACGCTGGTAAAATGTGGCTAGCAATAAGCTTCGAATAAAATCTGAGTGGAAGAACCGGAAAAACATTACCGAAGAAGCGACTCTCGTTGAATGAGATTTGTCCGAAGCTCGACCGTACGCACAACGTGTCACCTCCTGCTTCCCCACTGTTCTCGTCACTCGCCCTCGAGAAAAACGAGCAAGAGTCAAGAAGAAAAAAAAAGCAGCCTACCATTTCTGAATGAACCCGTTGAGTTGCGCGGTAGCTGTCCGAGTTCGGCGGAAGAAGCATGATCGATCGTTAATCGACGGGTTCGAATGCACGCGATCGTTCGGGCTCGAAGAACACGCGGTTGGTTGTTCGTTACTTACTGGTCGGGGTTGGTCGCGACGACAGAAGCGGAGAACGCGACAAAGGTATTTTATCGAGCGACGGTTCGACGCGAATTGCGATGTTCCTGTGCGATTCTGTCGGGTTGGGGAATCGGGGAGGCTACGAGAAGCGAGTTTGCGCGCCGGCCGACTTTCTCCCCTTCGGCTCTCACTTTCGTTCGGGGTCACGCGTACTGACACTGCCCGCGAACAACAGAGTATCGACGACCCGCCAGAGGAGCACGGTTTTAGGGAAGAGGACCCTCTTCCGCGGATATACGCAAGTCGCGCAAGCGCCCGGGATGCTGCCCTTCGTCGAACAGCTTTCACTCGATCCCCTTCCGCTTTCACCCACTGCTGATGCTGCCCCGACACCACCCACACACCCCTTTTTCCTTTTCACCGATCTATCCAGGGCCGGCCGAACTAATACAGGGCATTAGTAGATGCCCCGGCCTCCAACCATGCGGCCACCTCCTCATTTTTCAATTTCCGCTAACGAACACTACGCTTTATACGAATATACAGAAATTCTTTATAATCCGAAATGTTCTAATTCCGACGATACGAGACCGCTTACTTTGCTTCTTCGCTGAAGCGGTTGAAAATTTCATTGGGTAGCATTTTTCTCTTTAACGAAACTCAAATATTTTTACAATATTTTGTGAAAATAAAATTCTTAGTGATAAAAAGAGATAGGTTCTGAAACCGAGTCCAGTAACGCCGGCCCTGGATCTACCACCCTCGTTAGAACGCTCCGACGAATTCCTCGAGTGTCTTCCCTGAACGGAACTCCACTGGGGTGGTGACCATATATATTTTCACGGTGAATTCGGTACAAAAATAAAGATTATAAACAAACTTTCCGCCCATATTTATACCTAAACTTTCATCGCAGTCGTAAATAGAACTATTAAAACTTGATGCTGCTTATTTCTTTTATATCTTTATCGAGGTCGCTGCATCGGCACTACCCTTTAAGACACGAGTAAAAATTGAAAATTCGGAAATGGAACTATATTCGGAACTATATAACTATATAGCAAACTCTTGTACCGTTATTCTACCTAACATTTTCTCTACCGCCGTAAACAAGCTGTGTCGCCTTCTGTTAACCACTTCCCCAGTCATTAACACGAGCACAGCAATCAATTTTCCCTTTTATTACTTTCTCACAGGTAGTATTTACCTTACTACTTATTCTATTAATATAATCTGCTCCTTAAAGCTGCCTAACAATCCGTGGATTGTTAAAGGGCAATAACTGCGCCCTAAAATTACAATGGTACTAGAAGGTATGCTCAGAAATGGACGGTTGAGCAAATAATTAGTGGAAAATTATTGAAACGGGATGCTGCCCTTCGTCGAACAGCTTTCACTCGATCCCCTTCCGCTTTCACCCACTGCTGATGCTGCCCCGACACCACCCACACACCCCTTTTTCCTTTTCACCGATCTATCCAGGGCCGGCCGAACTAATACAGGGCATTAGTAGATGCCCCGGCCTCCAACCATGCGGCCACCTCCTCATTTTTCAATTTCCGCTAACGAACACTACGCTTTATACGAATATACAGAAATTCTTTATAATCCGAAATGTTCTAATTCCGACGATACGAGACCGCTTACTTTGCTTCTTCGCTGAAGCGGTTGAAAATTTCATTGGGTAGCATTTTTCTCTTTAACGAAACTCAAATATTTTTACAATATTTTGTGAAAATAAAATTCTTAGTGATAAAAAGAGATAGGTTCTGAAACCGAGTCCAGTAACGCCGGCCCTGGATCTACCACCCTCGTTAGAACGCTCCGACGAATTCCTCGAGTGTCTTCCCTGAACGGAACTCCACTGGGGTGGTGACCATATATATTTTCACGGTGAATTCGGTACAAAAATAAAGATTATAAACAAACTTTCCGCCCATATTTATACCTAAACTTTCATCGCAGTCGTAAATAGAACTATTAAAACTTGATGCTGCTTATTTCTTTTATATCTTTATCGAGGTCGCTGCATCGGCACTACCCTTTAAGACACGAGTAAAAATTGAAAATTCGGAAATGGAACTATATTCGGAACTATATAACTATATAGCAAACTCTTGTACCGTTATTCTACCTAACATTTTCTCTACCGCCGTAAACAAGCTGTGTCGCCTTCTGTTAACCACTTCCCCAGTCATTAACACGAGCACAGCAATCAATTTTCCCTTTTATTACTTTCTCACAGGTAGTATTTACCTTACTACTTATTCTATTAATATAATCTGCTCCTTAAAGCTGCCTAACAATCCGTGGATTGTTAAAGGGCAATAACTGCGCCCTAAAATTACAATGGTACTAGAAGGTATGCTCAGAAATGGACGGTTGAGCAAATAATTAGTGGAAAATTATTGAAATCGGGTGAGGAATATGGGAAGTTAACTCCTCTAATTCCGAATTTTTACATTAAGAAAACCGATGAATCACTTTTTATGATGTTTGTTCTTCTAAATTACGAATGATTAAGAAAATATTATTTCCATTACTCATGCTTATTCTCTGAATACCGCATCGATCCGCAGCGATAAACGAAATACAAAGTGAACCTTTAATAAAAATTAATAGATTGAAAGATTTGTAAGAATTCTGAAATATGACCGTATCGTAAAAGATGGAATTAATTGACCGATCGATAAATACAATTTTAATTAACTGGGGCTATTCAGAGGAAAATAATTGAAAGTACGCGTGTATGAAACCGCAGCGAGTGGAAATAATCGAATGTTGATATAAATAGTTGAACAACTCGTTACGAAACGATGGAGAGTAAGGACATATCGTTTTATAAAAATGTGCGATATGAAAAATTTTGCGTCTAAAATCGACGAATGAACGATTGCCAAGGAACGAACAAATACGAGGATTTCGAGAGAATGAGAAAATTATCTTTCGACTTGACACAGGTCTTTGAGGAGTAATTAGAACCTAAAATTGGTAGCCTTGCATCACTTTTGTGCCAGTTAAAAGACTTGACCTTCTCTTACAAACGGAGACTGCAAAAATCAATGAAAATGCTGTAGAGTATTTCAGGTATTTACTTGAAATGCGCGTGTTAAGAAGAGGCATTCTACCTCGTGTATTCATACAATTTTTTTTTCATCCTCGCTGAAGTATCTGGGCTCTGACAACTTTAATTTCAACAGTCGTTACGAGTGAACGCATAGCGATACGACGCGTGACAACGTAACGCTTTGATACGATGCGTTAAAGTCGATCATAACGCGTGGCAATCTCGCATTAAAATTGAAAAAACTAATCTATTCGTTAAAAAATAATATAACGATTTGATATGCACCGTACACGTACGGACAAAATAAAAAGTAACCTCAAGAACGTCACGTATATCGCACGTTTCATAATTACGATATTGCACGTTACACAACAAACTGGCACGTTAAAAAAATTTGGCACGCAACTAACCGTGTACACAACTTTCTGTCTCTTGAACACAACCATCGAACGTATCGTGTTTCTATTATCTATTCTCTAATTCGAACGTCATTTGATCAACGCTTATTGTTAGTACTCTAATTAATACCTTCGAGGATAATCAGATTTTCTCGATTAGATCGCGTCTTAAAACGGATCGCCCGTTGAAGTCGAAGAAAAATTCTTCGCCTTTACGACACGAATCGAACGAAATTTGGGAATTTATTTGCTGCAGGGAAGCGTTCTTGCAACGGTGATAAACCGCTTGAAATAAGTTTGAAAAACTCAGTAGAAGCGGAAATAAAAAAAAAACGTTAGAAGGGAAGTAGGAAGTGGGCGAACAAATAGAAGTAGCGATGAAATTTATCCGACAAACGTAGGTTGAGATCGACTAAATCGAGGAGGAGCTCTCGTTCGAAGGGGGTGGCAAAGGGTGTCAGGGACCTCTTTATATGGGCCACAAGATTCGCCTTAGTCGACTATCGTCTTACTTCCTGAGGGTTCTACGCGTGTTACGCGAGTATCGAGAGGGAGAGAGATAGCTACCACCGTCGCGAAATTACTGTTGGGGATGAAAACGGAAGTCGAATAAACGGAATCGAGTTTTATGTGTTTCCTTATATAACAAACTGCTGCTGAATATTAGCACGGCGTAACCGACGCGTTTTAATCAAAATTATTAATCGATCTTCTGGCAAAAAGATATCAAATAAATTTGAAATAATTTTAAATGCTGTAGTTCGAAGATAGAGTAAAATGTATAAAGGAAAGATATCTGTTGATAATGTTATCGTCGATTCCAAAGTGCGGAAGGTTGATGCACTTCTCTAATTTCCCAGATATGTCAGATTGATACGTGGAAATCAATCATCCAAATTGAAATAAGGTTACACGAATTTCCGAAATATTTCTCTCTTAAAAACCGATTAAATAATTAGAATATTGTATTACGCAAATAATATATATTTCATCTCGAAAGTCGTTATACGTAATTACATCGAGTTATTCGTTTTCAGGCATAAAAATAAAAATTGGTCACTTTTGACCCATTTCCTGAGGCGTTACCTAGAATTCCCTTCCCTTTCTGGTCTCGCAATCGCTCGATGAAAAATTACGCTCGTGCCTGTCCATTAATTGCAAATCATCTTGCGCGATTCAGAGTCACGTTCATGGTTGTAAACGCTTTCTACAAATCTGACGCAAGCTTCTCGGGAAACGTTCACCCGCGTTGCGTTACGCGAATCCCGAGAACGAATCGCGCGAAGGGGGAAAATCCTGACCATCCGGGACCCTCCAGCAATTTCCCCGATAAATCTGGCTCGTAAACCGAGAAACACGGGGAATTTGGGAAAGTATCTTCCGTCCACGCGTGCGATAAAAAAGAAGCGAGAGAAAAGCAACGAAACACAGTAGCAAAATAGATCGATAAATGGGCTTGTCCGCATGCAAACAGGAAAAATAAAAGGGTGCACTTACCTTGCGTGATTAGTGAACTTTGTTCGCTGAACGGAGACAAATTGATAACGTTATTTGCTGTAATATCGACTTCTTTTACGCACGCGATGTTTCTTTGATTATTTGAAATTAACACCGGTAGGACAATTTCTCTAGAAAGCGAAATTATTAGGACGTTCCGGTAGAAACGACGAGATAACAAGATAAATAAATGCTCGTACATGACCCTAATTCGTTAAGTTGTTGCTTACAAAATCGATTCGAAAGCTGACGCGACTTCGTGACGCGAAACTTTTACAAAACTGCATCGTAAAGTTTAAAACTCGTCGAAATTTACTACATAAACGTTTCATCGATATTCTGAATACAAGATGACCGGTTAGCGATAATAGCAGACTATTATGTTGCTACGTATCGGATAGCTTTTCGAAACATAACACGTCCGAGACGATTTCATGACACAAAAGTATGGTAAAGTTTATGTTATGACAATTTGAAGCTTAAACTATGAAAAAGATGGCTATACAAATGCTTTATTCATATTCCTGATACATTGTTTTCTTGTCGGCAAAGAATAATTGAAAGCGACGTACGCTATAAGTTTGTTAAACTCCTATAATTCCTTTCGTTTGCGTATTCGTATAAGATATAAAGAAATAAGTTGCATGCAACACACAGCGAGGGTGGAAGATACTCTGCTACAGTCATGCAAGAAGGTACATAGGTAGAAACGTGTAAAGCGTAATCCTACCTTAGAATGTAGTTCACGCAAACGACTGAAAGTGGTTTCTGCTGTTTAGAGCAATGTATAAGGGTGGCCTGTGTGACGACCCACGCGTATCCACCCCGTTTTCCAAGGAATCTGTACGCCACAGTTTCGCACTGACCCTTGCTGAACACTGAAACAATTCGAGAGAAGAAATATCAGCGGGATCCTGCAAGGACTCTAAATGCACCGTGCTCTCCTGCCTCTATATATACTCGCGAAAGCGGTATCGACATTGCGCACGCAACGCATTCTGGATGATGAAAGATGCGCGCTAAAATTGCAAGTCCACTTTTGACTACTAACCGGAATAATAGTAACGCTATTAAATCGTGAACGGTACATATAAAAAGACAAACGAGCATTTTAATTTATCGGTTCACTGGCTAACCAATTACACCGCAAGCTCGTAAAAAAGAACAAAAGAAATGTTTGCCCCGAAAATCTTGATAAAGAGATCACCGTCCTTGAAATCTTTCCCTTTATGGTGTCGTTCACCCAACTCCTCCGACAAGCTATACCAAACCGGCATTCTCCCCACCAAATGCCGACAACTTATATTTTTTTTCTTTTCTTATTTTGGCTTCTTCTCCTTCGTTGAACAACTTCGATCGATAATGCCGTGACAGGATTTTCTTCCGCATTAAATGTTACGCCGAGTACCGTCAAAAATAAATCGTGAGCTTAACATCGCAGGATTTACGAGTCTTTCTCGTATCGTGGATAATTTGAACAAATATACTTTGGATTTCAACTGGGAAGATAGGAAAAAATGTGTATTGATTAGTTTTACAATTTCAAAATGCTCGGCCACCTCGACACAAATGGTTTTCGCGAGTCTCTTTTTACATTCTTTAATTACGTAAGAGCCAATGGCTGTTTTTAAATGACACGAGTCTTTCCTCGTAATAAGATATGAATCCGAGGTGAATGAATATGAAAATAGCTTTGAATGAGGTAGTCAAAAAGAGAAGAAAGTAAACAGGATCCAGACGAAAGGAATAAGACTCGTTTTAACACGAATCCTACACCTCTACAGTTATTTGAATAAATTATATTAAATTAGCAGCGAACGTCGGTGAACCTCGTGCCGGTAAACGCGTTAAGAACGGTACAATCTTGACGCAAGCGAATCAACGCGTTCGCGATTGGCAAATATAGCGTAGTGGGTCGTGAACAAGCACATTAATTCAAATGACCGTCAATTGGCTTATACTCACGTGATTTAAAAGATTTATCCAGAGCCAAATTGTCGAGGGCGTGATAGAACTCGAAAACGGATTGTCCCATTAACTCCTCGCTGTTCCAGCCCAAATATTCGGCCAACCTGATCGATCGAACAGAAAAAAAGTAATTATAATATCGTCAAATATAGCGGATTTTTGCTTCTGAACAGAAACGAATGAAAACTAAATGTTTGAGTCATTAAAGTTCCGTGAAGCGCGGTAGCGGAAAGTCTACCACGCTAACGGGTGTAGCATTCGTTCGGTTCTCTTTTATCTTAGAAGACGGATGAAAATGCTAAGTAGACGTTAATAGTCGATCGTTTACTCACTTTTCGTCGGCGTAGGTAAACTTCATGCTGAGGCTGTGTTTGGATAAGAAAGTATGGCGCCCAAGAGGGATTTCTATGTTACTGGGATGCGGTATGGGACATCCCACAAGCACCAGGGAAACTCCTACATCGCGTTCATTGGATTCGTCCTCGCTTTTGCTTTCCTCGTCGTCGACTTCGATCGAATTCAGCACGGGATCATGACTGTACGTCAATCTGCCGGTACAGTGAATCACCTGACGCAAAATGATGGTTGCCACGATCGAATTAAATTGACCATTTGGTTTCTTGCCGCGAGTCGAGCGGTTCGTATTATTCGAAGAAAAAACTAACCTTATAGGCAGCGCTCTTCAGGTTCACTTTTCTTCCCTTGCTGGTCAATGTACATTTCAGTCGCAGGAAGAAACTGCAAGCACGTTTCTCGTTGTTTTTCGACGGTTTCGAGGACAAACACTCGCGTAATTCGTCATGATCGCAAGGATGACTGTACTCGTACACACTCTGACCCATCATGTCCATCTGAATCGGGGGAACAAACAAGTATCATTGTATTTAAATGTCTCTTTTGTCATTGTTATCGCATTGTTTACCATTTACGTATAAAGCGTATGCAATCGTTTTATAAATTAGCAATAAGCAAAAATTCGAAAGCGGTTTACAACGATGCAGTGAAACGTTAATACAGTGGACTTTAGTTATATCGTGGCAATATAACGAAAATCTACAGTATTTCGGTGAAAATGTTAGGAAAAAACCCCGGCTATATACGGATACGTCAACAAAAGCAAATAAACGCGTTCACGGCTTAGATCTAGATCTTGAGAGCAAAGTATGCTATTTAGAAAAGTGAAGAAAAGAAGTTTTCGTAATATCTGCCGCTAGATTAGACACAAAGATTAGTATCTTTGATTTGATCGTTACTACATCGCAACTAGGTAAGTATGTACATTGAAACTATTTGTTGAAAACTTTCCGACAATTACTTCGAGCAATCGTATACAGGGTGGTCTACATAGTTTGTGAATCTCGAATAATTTCTAGAGTACGCATTCTTTGTTAAATGTTTATTTACAACAATTTCAAGGTTTAAAGGGGCACATTACGTAATGTATGCATTTTTTTTTACAAGCGATGTTTCGTAACGCATGCTTAAGAAGTTATCCAAGATGTGCAAGCAGAGCACCCTGTACATACGACTTCGTTAAGTATCGATAATAGTTTCCTATCTTTCATGGATAATCGATAGCAGCTTAAACGTTATATATACGTTTTCCTTAAGCGACTACTGTATCCTCTTCGGAAATTCAAATCTGCTGTTTTTCGAAAACGAATATATCTAAGAAGTAAAGAATCGCCGAGAGAACGTACTTGAGAAACACCAAGATAATCGCTAACATTCTCCGAAAGGTAAATCATGTTCCCATCCCTGGAGAGCACCAACATGAACCCGTTTAGGGCTTTAGAAAATAGCTGGTCCATTTGGTTGGACGATTCTGACTTGGCCACTGGCTCCGGGACTGAAAGAAAATTTTTGGGAAAAAGAAATAAGAAATGAGATCGAGCGAAAGGATAAGAAAAAAGTCGGTGGTTCGTTAGGAATCGGTCGAAGGTGGATACTCACTGGAATCTATCACCGAACGCACTTTCAGATAGGCGATAGCGAGCCTCATAACGCTGGCCTTATCTAGGTGGGCTGCCTGTTCCGGTGCTACCGGAAGGGCGGCAGCCAATTCCGTGAAAATGTCTGTCTCCTTGCTTCGACGACATCGCGCTGCGTCACGGGACTTTTCTTTCCTCTTCTCGTTGCTCCTGAAATCAAAATATATTCGAAGCTCGATCGAAACATTCCAATCCCGCTATCTCTCTTGATTTTTGAACCTTTCGCAACTTGACGTATCCTTATCTATAATACGTAACTACGCACACAATATAGATGAAAATTAATAAACGCGGACTCGTAGCAAAGCATTGCATAAGTCTATCACCGATGAACCGTATTCGTTTTTCAAACCGGAAGTTGATAAGGTCAAAAGTCAATCACAAAATCTAGTTTCAGATAATTATGATGTAAAACTAGATAAGATGTTATGCTAACCTCGCGTGATTATCATGTAATCGCTTTTTCCTTGTACGTAACTTTATCGTTAGATATGTTAATGCACGTTATTAAAGACTTTTCAGTGTAAACAATGTTCTGGATGATATAATATTTAACTTCAACGGAAAATACGCCGATACAAAGTATCCTGATAAAATCTATGCAGATTCCGAATATCGACGTTGAACGCAAAGATAACAGCAAAGCCATCGGATGGTACCAACGTAGTTGGTGGTCATTTTGAACATGCGTCAACTTTAAAACAATCGACGTAACATCGATTTGAAAGTAAAGATCACGCGATAAGCCGTTGATATCATCCTTTGCGAGCAGACGACGCGAGCCCTCGACTAACAGTCGCTATCGGTACAATGACCATAATTTATTTAGAGCTTCGTGCGGGTAACGTCGCCTCAACGCTGAAACATGGTACAACGTCCCGTCAATTCGATTCAAATTAGATCTTTTCTTAGAAAACTCGGCGAAACTGGATTCGTAAGAAATGTAGAAAAAAACATGCCATGTTCGAAGGTCATTTTGTAGAAGCGATAACAACCGTTCGAGATAGTCGAGACGTGACGAGACGGGTTTGATGAAAATCTCAGTCGTTTCAGGTGATATTTACGCCATTCCATCTTGATCTGTCTGTGTCAATTGACGTAACGTTACACAGATTCGACGGTGGCCATAGACACCGTGTATCACAAATGAATTTCGCTGGACGAAGAAGATAAAAAAGAAATTTTCCCTATTGCTGTACGAGCATACTTGTGCTCCATTTGGTCGACCACGTTGCGCGAACGAGCTTGCATTTTTCTCATTCCGCGAGAACTTCGAGTAATCTATTCTTGATGACTCAATCTTCGTATCCATCGATTACGACGAGAAAATTAATAAACTAGAGACGGCCTAGTTTAAATAAAATTAAGGGGAAATTTACGTTGCATCCGTTCTGATCGGCAGCGGTCGACTACATTAATTTCTGTTAAAACCAAAATGTTTGAAACTTCGTTCACGCTCACCCTTACACGATTTTCGGCTTAATCGCGTGAAAAGGAACCTACCAAACGCAGCATAGCCTCCATAAAAGGAAAAATCGAGCGCATTTGTCCAACGTTTAGTACACGGACGGCAGATCAGAGTTCTCTAACGACGGTCACACAGACGAAAGCTTACGACCGTGCACTTACAAGTAGTCCTCGAGAAGCTGTTCGTCCTCGTTGTAACCGTATTCGTTTCGGAGATCCTCGTAAAAGCACGGTGGCAGGATATTGTTCGTACCGTCCGGGTAGTAAACGCCATCGTCGTAGAGGGGGCAACGATCGCTGACGGGACACTGCAGCCATCGTTCTTCCGTACAAAAAGCGAACGCCTGGGGACAATTCTGACAGAAGCTCGCATCAATCCAATTCGTTTGAGCCAAATCGTTCGCGGGTACCAACTGCCTGTTGGTCAACTTCGTCGAATATTCATCGTATTTCGATCTGGTTCGTCGAAACTGACGACCGAGGACCTGTCTGTAGGCTTGTCCCTGGCAATTCTGGGACTTGTCCGTATCGAAGCACATAGCCAGATCTTCAACGTCTACAGGGTCCGATCGACAGTTTCTGGACGGGCCGTACACCACGTTTTTAGAACAATCTCTGAACACACCGCATTGGTCGACGGAGGGCACCGTGCAGGGTAAAGCCTCGTAGGGCAGAGTCCCAAAGTGATAAGGTCCGGGGGCGAAAGATCTGTGCGGATCCTGGTTAATGGGTCGGATTGGTCCCCTAGCGAATCGACAGGGTGGAAGAGTGGGCTCATCCTGATCGTAGAAGTTCGCGTAGTCCGTCTGGCCATTAAGCCACTCGGAGCAATGACCCAGGGTCGTCTCGTTATCGGGCAACCCACCACCATCGATCCGCTGCAGCACACGTGGAGCGATCATCTTTCTCGAAATCCTTCCGAGACTTTTTATCGTGGACGGAACCTCCCGATTCCCCGAGATCTTTCTTTTTCCTTTTTTTTTACGAGGCTGCCTCTCCTGTTCCCGTTACACGAGGCTATGACGAATAAAACTCTTGTCCTATTTTATCGTCCCCTTCTTACTCGACTCTACCCACGACCCTTCTTCTTTTTCTTCCTTTCGCTCACCGCTCTGCCTCCTACTTCCCGTGACCCCGTTCCTTTCTTCGCTCGTGCAACACGCGTGTCTTCTTCGTTTCGTCTCTTTCTTTCGACTCGCCCGCGTTTCGAACGCTTTATCGTAGTCGATCCGTCGTCGAATTCGCGATTACGTAGATCGTCTGAGCAGATTCGATTTCCTGCTGGAAAGACAGAGACCATTCTCGTGGCCTCGTACCCGAACCGCGTTGCCGAGCCGTTGTCCGACTCGAGATCGAATCGTACGACTGTTGGACGCGATACTGAAAAGCAAGTACACCTGAAACCGATGAATATCTCGAGACCGATAACGATACGTTAAGATATCGTTCGATACAGATGTTGTTTCTCTGACGTTCCTCCTTTTTTGCTCGTGGAGAACGACCATCGTGGCTCGAGCTTTTACCCCTACCGTTCTACGTTACCGTTCTACGAAATCTCGGATTGACGTAGACGGATTGATATCAACAAGACGAGATCTGCCAGGCTAGCAGTTGGTCGTCGAGAAGAAGCATTCGTCTCGTCGACGATTAGATCTGTTCCGGGTTTCTAACGTCGTTTCGCAGGTTGTTCAAGGTCTACGAAGGTATCTTTGTTGCGAACAAGTCGTGATTTGGCCCAAGTACGGATAGTTGTATGACGGGTTTAAAACGGTTAGAAAATTTTACGGAATCTCGTATAACACGGTAGATGGAAGATAGGCTTTTGATACGGCACTCGAGAAAATACCGAAACGACTCTTGCAAGATATTTTTATACGTTTTACTTATCGATAATAGCCAGGCTATTACAAAACAAATAAATACTGCAGTACACTTTTTCGTATCGCAAGTCTTATAACCCATGCCTAAACTTCGTGCATAGCCGACCCTGCAAATCGATTTACGGTATCTATGAGCAAGCATAATTTAAACAGCCAGTTGACGGACAAAACAATTTCTAAATCCTCGTTTCGTCGATTTTACGTAGAACCGAGTTGCATAAAATTGCATCACGTCGAACCGAGTCAAATTGCGCCATGTCGAATCACGTTAAGCCAAACTGTGTCGAATTGAATTATGTCGAGTAAAATCGTATTGAACTCGGTTTCGCCATTTTAGCAAAACGGGAATTGGAAGTTTTAAATACCGGAATCTAAAAGCTATCTAGAAACGCGTAAGCGCAACAAACGATAAGGGAACTTGACATTTATCACATATGTTCGTAAAATTCTCAGTTCGAAAAATAATTGATGAGTAATTTTTCAAACTGCGATGCAGCAGAACATTGGAAAGGTCAAGCGGAGTCATCGTAATAACAATAAATATCTCCATAATTGGTTCTTTTTTGCCCATTGTATGGAAACAAGAAAATGCACCAAGCCATACATAGCTGTGTCAACAGGTAAGATAGAGAAAGAATGTGGCACGTGCTGGGGAATACTTTGTTGCCGCGATCGGCCTTGATCAAGTAAATTATCTCGAATAAACGCGGAAACGAAACCTGACTCTAAGTATCTACGTAGTACAGTAAGCGCTAAGCTGATCGTTTAGGAAAACGTCCGATCATAAATGTTTGAAAATTGGTGACCCACGTATCCCTAAGACCATTTCAACCTCTGCGTGCGGAATATAGAATCTCGATTGCTCCTAACTTAGAATTTGGATTATGGTCGGCCCGAAAAATATCATTTCGAACGCTACATTTTTCATGGAAACTTGCGTGAACCATGGAGATTACTTCTCCTTCGAATATATTCGAACATTTTATTCTGTTAATACTAGCTTATACTGAAACGTTGTAGGGGTCATCGAATCGGTGAAGATATCTGTATCTATAGAACTTTACGTCCGAAATATCTCTCGTATCAATTCTGTTAGGAGGGAAAGTAAATACTTCAATTTGTACCTCGCATGATTACATAATAACTAGCGCTTTAATGCGTCAGACAATGCATATTTTCACTGCGCCAGCGAACGTATTAACAAACTGATCGAAAAATAAAAACGTTTCATAACGATTACGGTACGTGTATCCAAAGATACTTTTCGTTGCTCTTAATTGTCCAGATACGAGGAATTCCGACGAGATGATTAAGCAGAAACGGCATGGAAGAAAATTTCCTGAAATTACTGCTTCGATAGATCACGTGACAGCTTGGACGAAGGAGCGCGCGGAGCTAAAAATAGTTCAGCTTCAATAGTTATTCGGACGTATAAACAGTTTGTTAATGGCCTGCACGGGAAGAATTCAAAAAGAAAGTTTCCAGAAGGTCGAGCCGTTGCTCCAGAATACGTATACAAATGAATGCGCGTGTGTCTTCTATGTGCGAGTGTATTCTTTATATATCGCGCGAGGGAAACACATCGTGTACTACTATACGCGTAGCCCGAAGCAGAGAGAGTTCTTTTCTCCCTTCCCTCGAGCTGACCGCACGAACAACGGTCATTATATACATATTCACGTAATAACTCAACACAACCGCCGCATTACATTACAGATACCATCCTTCGAATTCTATAAATGCGCTTCTGTGTCGATCGAGATACGATCGTTTTTTTCTTCTTTGTTAACTTGTTTCGTTCTTCGTTAACACAATGCATCAAGATCGTTCGCCGACCGAAATTGATTTACGTTCATTCTCAGAAGTTGAGACTACACTATTTTCGAGTTAATCGCACTATTTAAGCGAATAATATCTGTCTGTCTCTCGTGCGAGCGCACTATCATCCCACTATTCCAGTATACTGTGCGCTTCAAGTAAAATTTCCTACTGAATGTCTGTGGAACCGCTATACAAATGATCCAAGAAAGAAAAAGAAAAGAAAACGCGTTTTAAATTTTCAGTCAGCGAATAAGTCACATGGCTTGCTCCTCTTCTCGAAGTCATAAATTTTTTATCAATTTCTTGATACGTTACGATATCGATCGAGACAAAATCGATTTCTCGAAACGGCAGATAATCTGTAACCGGTCAAAATCGACCATCTGAATTCGAAGATGCATATTTTCGTTCGAATTATTTCCGAGAAAAAGTAAAAGACCTTACGGGGCAAGCACCGATACATATAAATAAGGGAAGAGAGTGCTTTATCTCAGCGGTTGCTTTGATTATGCGACCGCTTTGAAATTAACATACACGGTACGCGTGACGTTGGCGCTCTTGATTTATCTGAATTTCACTGATTCGAAGAAAAACGATGTGACTATTTTTACCAATCGGGAAAAAAGTTTTTATCTATCTCGCACGTGTGCGACGCTTTTGCGTTTCTACAGTTTGTTATTTTTTTACGAACAACGTCAAAACACGTTGCTCGACTCGAAAAGTTCGGCGTTTTTAGGTTATGGCCGCGATCGATTATTTTATTCGGAGAGTGTATCGAGTCCAGCAGCTACTCTAGCGCCATTCTAACGAACAGATTCGTAACCTCGGCGTTAGACGAACGCGCGGAATGCGCGCGAAAGAAAAAAAGAGGAACGAAAACAAGTATGTATGGCATACAATTTAGCACGTAACTTCTTGTTTCTCTTTATCGCGACACGATATACAATACACAAGGCAACGGAGCTCGCTCTTTGGCCTTAGAATGGAATTATCCCAAAGGAACACGGTATCGCAAGGACATCTGTGTCAAATACAATGATGGATTCGTATGTATGTATATTTTCCATTCAAATAACGTTCCATATAAAAGACAGAAAAAAAGAGAAATCGTCGAATCCTCACTCAGAAAATCTTACCATTTTCAACGCAGGTTTTCTCCGATATACCTAACCTAACGACCCTACCTAAGAGCCAGTTTCGAATCCATTCGATAAATTATCACTGCATTTTCTATCGGTGCGGGAGACCTTTTTTCCTTCTTTGTTCGCTCACACGCATACCCGCACACATGCGCAATCGTGGTTGTAGAGCGAATGAAAAGAGATCGGATTATTAGAGAGAAGAGACCATAAGTAATCTTGTAACCGGTGGAGGGGAGAATATATCAGCCGACGAAAAGAGACAGACAGACGACGAAGCAGAGACACTGACAGAGAAAGAGAGAGAGAGTCATCAACTCGAAGGAAACGCGATTGCGTCAACATGCACGCATTCACTCACGCGTATACAATACGACATGCGCGCGCGCGACAAACAGAATTTGTTCTTTGGTGTTCATCCATTCCGACATCCAAAACAGTGTTTACGTAGTACATGATCATGTAAAACCGAATGCTATATGTAATGACACGATTCGAGTAACGAATGAAAAACCACGAAAAATTAGAGGTGCAGCCGACGTAGCGGTGCGTCCATACGGATACCGCTGAGTTTGTATTTTTGTACGATTCCACTCACCTTCTTTTCTCCTTGTGTTTCTTCTCTTTCTTGTGCGATTCCATCGTGAATCGAAAAATTGACGAGAAAGATTTTTTTCCTTTGGTACAACACCCTGGGACACTCTCGGTCACTGCCAAGGAACGTATCCAGCGTGTACTCCCGCTTCGACTCGTCACGAAATTTTCGTTCTCAATCGTCTATGATTGTACTTTGCTCGCTACGAGTCTGTTCCGCGTTATTGAAATCGATGCACAAACATACGTTTCACACTGAATACGCGACGTCACCTCTGCTCGGTTACTCGTATTAACCGAGCGAAACGAAAACACATCCTTCTTTCACCCGCACGAAATGCTCGACGAACGCCACACTCATGGTGTGATGGCGATGACGATGACGATGGTGAAGCTAGCAAGTAGTGGTAGCGAGACCAGTACAACGGTGCTGGTGGTGGTAAACGATCGCGACGTGGTGGTAGAGGTTGTATACACGAGAGGACCGACTGTCCAAAGGGTTGGAACGAAGGAGGGGAGCAAACTGTACAGTTGACGTCATGCCGTTCTCGTTCTTCTTTACCGTACGTACCGCCATCGAACGGTCATAACGTCAACCAGTACGACTCGTCGTCGCGCGGTAAAGAACTAAGGCTGTTCAAAACTTTCTATCGCCCATGACGAAAACTTATCTTTCTTTTTGAACCATGCGTCACTATTACACATCGACAGAAGGAGGTTATCTGTTTATTCGTACAAGTATTTTATTGATCACAATGTACAAAGTATGTACAATAAGCTGCGAGTCAACGAGAAATAATGTGTATCGATTGCACGTTCAATTGTTCACTTTTAGCTTTTAAACAAAAATTAAGTAAAATTGAAACTGCAGGCAAATGCAATGTTTCAGTTGTGTTTAGAACAACGGGAGTTTTATCTTCTACGATAGCGATAGGCAAATTAACCGTCGCAAACGCAATTGCCTATCACTGTTCTATAACTTTATCGAAAAATTAAGAACGGGTACTTTTTCTTTCGAAAATACTCGATCGCACACGCATCTATTTCTTGCGGGAACTACAGAGATCCTATCGTGTTAAGTCTCGGTAAAAAATTTACTTTAGGTAGTTTGCAATGCAACCGCATTGCATTTATATTTGTACTGGCGAAATAACAATCGTTTATTTAGCGTTAGTTCGTTCTACTCCTTTCTCGATACTAGCAGTTTCTGGTATATCTTCTTTTTCCATTTTATTTTGTACACCGGAAACTTTGTCTCCGCTCTCTAAATTTTTATGGTGTTCTTCCATCGGGTCGCCCTCCTCGTCGAGGTCATCTAGGACTGCACCTTTACTTCGATATAATGCAGGGTACTGTACCATACACGACTGCATGGTTTTGAACGCTTCGTAGCAGTCCGAACCTTTTGGATCCGCGGTAGAGTAATGGAAACAGGAGAAAGCTTCACGGAATTCCAAACCGCATGGTCCTGTAGCCATTCCCCCAAGACAAGGGCAGTTCCAGTTGATTTCTCCATTGGCCAACAAGAGACCAGGACTCGGTTCTGGTTCTGGAAGATCTATTTTACTAGGCGTCGCATGGTCTTCTTTCGACGCAAATATTATAGTGTCTTTGCCCTCCTTACGAATCAATGGCATATTTCAACAGCTGATATAATCATACAAAAAATATATAAATGTCCCCTTAGGAGAGGGATCTGTATATTTCAATGTTGATAGTTTCTACTATCGGCAGTAAATGATAATAAGTTATGCGATGCACGATGAATTACATATGTACAAGGCTCTCCTTCGTATTTTTCGGCTATAGTTAAAGATGCTCTCAAGCGTACATAACAATCATCGGTGCACCTCAGAACAAATCTTCGTTCCTTTTGATTATATTTTAGTATATCGATCGTATACTTGGTTCCTTCTTCGCCAAACAGTTGCCTTACAGACTGAAGAATATTTTTCTTCAAATACACTCCTGATACTTCAAGATTAGGATTCTGGGGCAGTTCTCTACAAACACAAAATAAATTCTGCTTATTAATTTTGACCGATTACATAATTCATTGATTTTACAAACGTTTTTTCATAAAAGTAATTCCAGCTGCATACGGAAATATCTAGAAACAAATGACGAAAGTTTGCAACTTATTACAAATGAAAAATTGTAACTGAAACAATGATTAATACGACTACATCTACATTAGAGTTAAATTATAAGCGAACATAGAATTTGTCACAAATTGTTAGGAACGACAGTATCCTTTATGTACATGATAAAGTTTTATTTGTAACTTCATTCGTATAAGCCGAACTTTGAACATAGGTTAAGTTACATGTGTTCGAATGAAAATATAAATGGTGATTAAATTTACTAACAGAGAAACATCTAAGTAATACATAGTATACGCGACACTCACTCGCGATTCACATTGAATGTTCACAAATTTAATACAGCACTTTTCAGCAAATTTCGTTCAGGCACTGCGGCATTACAGAGCAGACAACACGTTACGTATAAACAGATGTCGCCCCAATCGCTTACATCACACTTTTTTTCAATTGAAATACGTCAGAGCTATTACATCGTACTTTTTATTGTACTATCCTCAATTTTCTGGCAAAATATTGATCTCCCAAAAAGTTCATCGATTTTTGTTCAATGAACTGAATACTTAAAGGCAGTTTTCAACGAATTTTATCTTCATTACCGGTTTTGACAACCAATACGATCGCTAGATTTCTAGGGAATGTTTCAATGTTGGTACACAGTAATTACAAAATGGACCTAAAGATTTGAAACGATCGACGACCTACTCATTATCTCGTAAAATCTTACTTATAAAGAATAAAATGCGTTATGCAATTGAAAAAAACGATATAGGAATATTCTTTGTCTGGTCACGCATGCGTGTTAGCACGATAAATGAACATCGCGTAACAAAATATATTATAATAACACTGTATCCAGTTTGCCTTTCTCCACAGTAGCGTATTAAAGCATTTAAATATCAAATTTATATTTTATTCAGAAAACGAAGTTCTTGGGAATCGCGAAACTTTAATATTTCCGTGTACATAAGTTTTCAAAATATCGCGCGTAAAGCCGATCGATGAGCGAGTGTGCATGCGTGATTAGACAAGGACAGAAGGGGTCTTATACAGTGTTTTCTTTCTATTCCTATTTCGCATCCACTTATATGCCAGCATATGGCTCGCACTTTATTCTTACATTTCTATGGATTAGCGAACGAAGAACTCAACGATGTAAATCTGAAAATTCTTCTATGGCGATATTAAATTAACCCCTATTTCTCTTCTATAATTTCGGAACATAATCGCTCGAGTCCCTAATTTACGATCCTTTTAATCTTTCCTGAAACCATATCCATAAGATTCCCTTTCTTGAAACAGTTAACTATTCCGTATCTTCTAATACTTTTTCTATACAATTCGACAGCAACGTAGGAAAATAGACAAAGTAAAGGAAAAAGTGAGTTCTTCCGAAGTTAAAATGTAATTTTGACTGAACACGGCGGCGCATCCTCTTCGCGCAAGGTCAATGCTAATGTCAATAGCCAAGGTTAAAAGCTGGTACAAAGAAAGGTTTAAACTTTCACTGAAACCACGTGGAAAGTAAAATTACAACAAGTTTTCTACACAAAGAAACGAAAACGCTACAACGGCAATCTACCGAATAACATTTTTATTATTAACAAAAAAAAAATGTGTATCGCGTCTTCGATTCTCCGATATTGATTGAATCGTGGAAAAAGAAGAAAAACATCGGGTTTTGTATTTGCCGTGATAGCGATGCTTCTTTGTAGACATTCGAAACATCTGGCTTTCTTTTCTTCGACACCGACTGATTTTGACACGTCCAGGATAGGTTCGAAGGTGCGATTCGCGAAAGAATTGACACTTGAGTTACCTGAAGCGTTATTCGAATCGCTAGCCAACTGCGAACTCAGCGATTTAGCTACCCAAGACCCTTATGCTTATCCTTTTCACTGTTCCATGTGGGTCCGGTACACAAGGCCTCTGCATTGGCGTAGCGTGTCGAGAATAATGGGGTCTACGGACTTGGGTTGCACAAGGGAGTCAAAGACCCGAAAAATTCTTATTTCAACATACGAGTCCGAAAAGCGTTTTCAGGAACGATACGACGACATAACGTGGCGGAGAGTCTAGTTCTTGTCACATTGGGAAAAATATATTTTCTGAATACTCACCGCATGTTCTATGAACATTTTAAAGACGCGGAGTGAAAATTTAAGAATAAATAAAAATAAAAGGTTCGCTACGCTACGAGAAGCATACAGTCAAGTGTATACATGTACGAGGATGGTGTGGCAAGTCGCGGTACGCTAAAAGGAAATCGCAGGAACGTGTGAAAATTTGCAGCTCGAAAGTATTTTCGCATGGTTATCGCGTGACCACCTGGCCAGATGCATTTAAAGATGCACTCAAACCAGACTTCTTTCATTTAAGGGGACGATCAATGATACGATGCTCGAAATACGACCGCGCCTGCATCTCAACCTCCGAGCTTCAATTCCATCGATATCAATCGTGTCGGACTTCTCGATATTACGTCAAACTCTACTTATCACAGAATATCGCCGTATTGTGTGCAAGACGATAACGTCGTTTGCAAATTACCACTGCTCACATTTTATCGGATGCGAATCGTCAAGGATCTACGCTTTCCTAGAGAAAGATATTTTATAAAAATTTGGCGTCTAGTTTTCCCGTAAGAAAAACGGCGAGGACACAGGTGATTAGAGGATTCCCTAAGGATACTATAAGAATGCTAAGGGGCTAGGAGAGTTGACAACCTGTGGGCTTTTCCGACAACTTTATATCGTAATTCTTTTATTAGCTGTATCTGTTTTTTATTAACAAACGGTGCAAAAGGAGATTCGAAAATATATTTTTACATTCTTTGTATCTTCCTCCGTGCAAGTAAGGATCCTGGTTCTGCCCCCTATGTTTCGCGCGGAATAAAACACACGGAATTCACAAAGTAACTATAATTCCATATCGAGTTCGGTAGAAGCGTGTCATCGAATACAATAGAAGACTAATGACGTCACCGGCGACCGTACCATGGAAAGTGGTATATTCGTCGGAATGTCATGAATAACAAAGAATCGTAAAGTCATCGTATTTGTGCGGCCGTGTATTTAATCGTGGCTGCGACTCATGCCGATATTTCCAGAAGCTGTTTTCGCCAAACGGTTACACGCCGCGCGAATTATTGGGACGGAGGAACCGAGCCGGTAGAAGCGTAAAGAAAACAATGACGTATTTGAATAAAGGGGGGAAACGTTAAATGAAATGAAACATCGCGATAAAAAGAAAAATAATGGTGACAAAGGTTGAAATTGCACCAGGAAGCGTGATTCCTGTGTTTCATTGTATCCGGGCTTGCACACGCCTTCCGCATGCAAGTTTATTCGGTTTGAACGGGAGGTTGCGTTCAAAGGTTAAAAGATCCTACCGGTGTCGTGCACGGTTTTAAAAAATAAAACGGGTACGGACGAAGCGTATGCCGAAAAAAATGAACCGAACTTTTCGAAACGTATTCCATGCGAACCCCCCTGTACAATTTATTTCATGCCGCGTATTACGCAATCGACGGAAGAAGGAAAACGGAAGATAGCGATGCAATAAAAATAAGAAGATCCCTTGTAATCATTAAACTCCGTGCACGAGCCCGATGGACTGGTTCTCCTTGACGATACGCACGCGTCATATTGCCGTTAGTAAAATCTGTCGATTCAGTTTTCTGAAAATCATACTGTTACGGCTTCGGCTGTCCTCCTTTCTCCCTCTCGTTCCCTTGCTGTTTCGCTATATAACAACCAGTCGGAACGAACGCACACAATCGTGTCTTTCTTTGGAATCTTTTTTTGCTGGCTGTTCGATCCAAAGTCGATTCACGGTTAAAGACAGATTTACATTATACGTACCAGAGATGGGACGGTTCCGTATTGGCACCGTACAAATACAGACGTTAGCGTTTGTATTATACGTTGGTTCATCGGATGGTTGTAGAATGTTTAGAATAACGACAAATTCTTGGCAATACGCGTAGACGTTAATCGATTTTTGACACGATGCGAAACAACGCAAACAAGTACAACGCGTTGTCGTAGAACGCGTAGAAATCGAATAGACGGCGTTAAATGGAGAATTTTTTGAAACCGGTGTTTGAAACGCGCGAAAAGTTCGACGAAGGTGACAATGTATCTAGAGTCTAGAATACGCATAGAAACGAGCAACGAATGAATAATAATCGTGGTTGTTTTAACATGAAATATAAATATATTTGGGTGGTATTGTACAGTCAGTGATTCGTTCGTATATACAGAATTATGTACATGCCGAACACTATATATCCTCGAATACTCTGCGCGTAAACTCACACATGCATACGTTTGACACGAATCGGTCGACCCACACGTGTTTCGAAATGATCATCCATTCATTCGATTCTTGGATCCGCGAATCACACATCCTCTCTCATTCTATTTCTCTCTCTCTTTCTGGCTTTCCATTTTTTATTATCCAGTGTATTTAAGTTCGAACGGTATTTGGCGGTCGTTTACAATTTCAGTGTTGCGATTAATTAGGACGTTTGCCACCGGACAATTCCATTCTACGAGTACATTTTGGCGCTTGTCGCGAGTTATTTTTTTTGTCGTTTTCATTTTAAAGTCAGCCTAAGCGGATTTTGATCATGTTACGTGTCTTTATTTTTTTTCCTCCGTTTTACTTAAATTTTTTTTGCATTTTGTTCTCTCTTTGCTTCTTTATTACTATTATAGAACTACGGTTGTATCGTGTGTGTGTGTGTGTGTGTCCGTGTATGTACGTGTGTGTGTTCTTTAATGTTCCTTTAATCCGCGTTACAAACCACAACGAGGTATCGTTACTTTAGACTTCATGACTACAGTTTAGAGAATAAGCGTAGAAATGTATCACACTAGAGACTTGTACATTATCTTAAATGCGTAGGTATGTTCTTGTTATTTTTTTCCATTTTTTCTTTTTCGATAATACGAGTAGTAGTTGGTTAAGCTAGCTTTATCCCCCAACGAAGTCCCATGGTTGCTTTTGTTTTTACGAAACCGAAGAAACATCTTGCTGCTTCTGCCCGGCCGACGGAGCACGGAGCGGCAAAGCCGATGCGCGGCGCTTTCGTTAAACCTCGAAAAAAAAAGATAGAAGAAATAAGGGGGTAAAGAAGAGAGGCCAGGAAAGACCTATTCTCTCTCCTGTGCACGCGTTATGAAACACAACGCTCCCGAAGACTCGCCAAGCCCTGCCATTATGCCGCGTTCACAATACTGTTGGTGAGCACTTTGCCGGATGATAAACACTATTCCCTCGGGAGACTCGAACTGGGGTCACACGAACGTTTAAAATTACATTCTTCGCGATGGACGTTGATTCGAACCGATGTACACACGGGTGCAACGTAGTTCGGATTAACTTTGAAATTTTTCGATCG